ATTTCTCTCTCTCTCTTTCTGTCTCTCTTCCTCCCTTTATTTCTCTCTCTCTCTCTCTCTCTCTTTATCTCTCTCTCCTTCCCTTTCCTCCTCTCTCCCTTTCTCTCTCTCTCTCTTCCTCCCTTTATTTCTCTCTCTCTCTCTTTCTCTCTCTCTTCCTCCCTTTATTTCTCTCTCTCTCTCTCATGCAGGCACGCACTGCCCTTGCACCACTCTTAAATTTCAGTACAGAGTGAAAGTAAATTTAACCTCACAGTCAACCACCATGCGGTATTCCAACACACGTCACACACAATTGTAATGTTGAAAATCTACTTTTCTTTCCCCCTTTCTAGGCCTATTTGAGCCGAGTCACATGCAGTATGAAGGTGAAAGGAACCATGCCATGGAGCCGTCCTTGGCAGAAATGACCGAAAAAGCCATCAAAATACTGAAGAAAAATGCCAAGGGATTTGTTCTCCTTGTCGAGGGTGAGAAACAAGGCTTATATTTACAATTAAATTTTGAATTCTGTGGAGTTCCCCTGCGGACTCTTAATACATTTTAGTGCGTTTTGGAATGGATACACCTTTTTTATACTCAACATTCGACGTGGGATCATAATAGTCCCTTCGGTGCGTACACACAATGGACAATAGAAGTGTCACCCAATGAATCAGAGTAATCAAATAATAATCAAGTAATCAATAATCAAAGTAGGCAGATCTTGAGTAGTTATAATGCCTGGTCTACATTTTTTTATTTTTTGGAATTTGATGTTAATAAAATGATACCAGGAGCATATCATTCCACAGTCATTTATCTCCCCCAAAGTATTGGCTCAGTAGGGGTGACACTTCTATTGTCCATTGTGTGTAATTTAAGGCGGATCTAGAGTTTTGCTTAAAATGAGTATATAAAAAATGTTGTATATATACCACATTGCACTGTAGGCTATGCTATTTATTTTACTTTGACATTGAAATGAAATATACTCCCATACTGGATCTTATGTTTCGGAACGGCAGTCACAACATTTTGACCTCAGCAGGCCTTCTTCAGTTGAACTTTTTAAATTCTCGTCTAGGTGGAAGAATAGACCACGGCCACCATGCGTCGTTAGCTCGCCATGCGGTCACAGACACCATCGCCATGGAGGCGGCGGTAAAAAAGGCGGCGGAACTCACGAGCGCAAATGACACGTTGACTGTGGTCACTGCAGACCATTCCCACGTCTTCAACATCGGTGGATATGCCGGACGGGGTATCCCGATTTTGGGTAATTTACATATTGTCAGAAATGCGCGACTTGATGAAAGGGCATTGTTCTTTTCGTGTCGTATCCAATAAGGTTAATTGGTAGAATCATCCGCGGGGGTCAATTTCTGCGCAACATTTACCGCTCAGCTTCAGGCCATTTTTCTACTCTCTATCATCAGGGGGGGCGTTGCATATCAAATCTTTAACAATACAATACCTGTGCCATAGAGTTTAGCAACCGAACGACAAAAAGTTTCGAATAGAACAGACTAAGTACTTTAAACAATTGAGATCTTCAGGATTGTTTCTTTCTTTCTTTCTTTTTCTGTGTTTTTTTCCTTTCAAAAAAAGTTGTATACAGTCTCCATATAATCTGTCAGTGAAAGCAATGTCACCAACATTTCCAGGTGTTAATGATGCAGAGAACGACAAGAACGGCGTTCCCTACACGGTGCTATCGTACGGGAACGGCCCTGGGTACACGGCACCACGTGAGGACCCGACCACCGTCAATACATGTAAGTACAGGGGTTAACGTAAGGATTATTATTAATCACCCAATATCAACGGTTAAAATGTAGGGTTAATCTTGTATATGGAAGGTGATGGGGTGGTGTACAAAATGTAGTGAATGATCTCATAAGAGGTTTGTATTTATTTATTTAATCTATCTTAGATTCTATCTATCAAGCACGTAATACAAACAAGTATATTTTGCAATTGACCATTTTTACTTTGATTTGATTCGTTATTCGATAATTTTATTATCCAAAATTATAAAGAGAGAAAGTAAAAGAAACAAACTGATGACAGAAATTGAACATTTTTCAGCATCATGGAACTACGTGTACCAAAGCGCAGTTTTGACAGCCTCAGAAACTCACGGAGGAGAGGAGGTTCCGGTTTACGCGCAAGGTCCCATGTCTCACCTCTTCGATTTTGTATACGAGCAGAGTTACATCGCACACGTCATGGCGTACGCGGCGTGCGTGGGGCCCAACAAAGACCACTGCAAGATGGCGCCACCAACCCCTACTACTTCTGGTGGATCTTCTTTAGAGTTTTCTGTGACAAAGGCATTGGTTGTGACGAAAATGGTAGTCGCTGTGATGGTAGCAGTCATTCTTTAGCGGATACATCTTTAGGCATCATTTCCTGACACAGTTATAGTTTTTCAAAGAATTATAGCAGAATTGAAGCATTCTACTTTTTTGAGGACCATTTTCTTTTTACTTTACCGTTTCCTTTTTTTTCTATACAAGTGCATAATCTGAAAGTCAGACAGGATTCGTTTACACTCAAATCGCTGTGATTTCATCAGTAAGATGATAGCATTACACGTTTATATTATTTGATAATCCACATTTATCTGTTTTAGTGTATATAAACAAAGCAACTCTGTTTTAGCTTTTTAGTCCTTACTTCAATAGATTACATTTTTTTCTATCTACATAACCACACTGCAGAATATTCATTTCAACCAGAGAGATATTCAGTATTTGATATTTGAATAACAAAAAGGATTAATATAATATAAATAGAAAATCATAGGAGCATTTATTTGTTAAGATAAGATTTTCATAGAGATGTTAAAATGATTTAATATTCCAAAGCAACAGAATTTGAACTTACTGTATATAAAATCATGGAAGTATATAATACGAGGAAAAACGCACATGCACACAATCAATAACGCCTGTAAAAAGAAACCAGTTTTTTTTTTCAATCAAGCAGAGCCACTCGGTAAATTTAAATTGAAACTAAAACATAGTTTGGTAGTTATTGCGACTAGTTATAGCGACTAGCGAGGTGTTGGACGGCGAAAACATTGGCGGACAGATACGGATACAGTGCAGTGATCAGGGTACATACAGATATATAGGGGGTTTTGTCTGGCTGTGCAGGCATATTAGTCAACTATGAACAGCCGTTTGATTAGCGATCAGCACAGGTTTCAAACGACTGCGCATGTGCGAAAAGCGCGCTGTTTGAAATGAACAAGTTGGTGAAATTGACAAAGCCTGCCGGCGTTTACCGTCTGGTTGATTTTATTTCATTAGCTCTCTGGTGTCTTTTTGAAAGTTTATATTAGAAATGTTCTATTGATTTTATGTTGTAAAAAGTAAATCCGTCTGAATTCCTTAGAAAAACATTTACTTTACCTTCATTTTAAGGGGATTCCCATTGTATTTATAGTGTATTATATGTGGCCCCAATGGGGATTTTCACACCTCCCCCACTCTTGCTTAATAAAATTCTTCATCTGGAGGATTGTAAATTATATTGCAAAATACATTGAAAATCTTAGGAAGGTTAACTGCAGATAATGCTGCGAGGATATTCTTAACAGTGGGGGAACTCGGCCAATATAAAATTTTTAACTTCGTTTTACGATTTTGCAGCTCAGGGTGCGATTTTGGAGCACCTGTTCTAATTTTTGAAAGCGAGGCAATGGAACCAAACAATGCGATACAATTTGTAATCTCGTAAAAATTGCCATTTTTATATAAAGGTTATAGCATGGAGTACATCGAAATGCGACTTGTTTATTATCATGATCTTAAATAATAATTAATATAAAACAAACGATATAATAAGTTCTTAACGTTAGCCTATTCATTAGCTTAATTGATTTTTTTCGTATTTGGAGATTAAAAACACAAAAGTTGTCTGGTTTCATATCGAGGCACTACGTTTCGTTCGTGTGCTTTAGCGATCGCTTTTTGACTTGTTCCTTCCAATCTTACGTTGGTGTATAGAAAACAAGGATTGGTTAATTTGCTGTATACAATAAAGAAAACTTGAATGAGAAGCAAATTCAATTTAATAAACACTTGATGTCAGTCCAGTATTTTGTAAACAACCACTGAAGAACTTCAGGGTCTATTTTTTATCATGTGCAGCATCTCTTACTCATTTTTACATGTATTGTTATTGATGAATAATAAAAGATAGAAATACGCTGAAAAGGTGTTAAAAAGTGATTATTTTTATGCTATCAGAACTTGAACATATACTCATCATAAAATTATAAAAATAGAAATCTTCATCTGTAAAATGGTGTTGTGCATATTACAATGAAATTACACATCGTGATTGGGAACGTATCGTGATTAAGTATACAGCATACTGAATTTTCTTACAGAGACAGTCAATATTAAAAATACAATACTTTAAAGTGTCAACAAAAACATTTATACTGTAAAATCACTTTTGCCCTTGTAGGGCACTGCTCCTGGCTTCTTTGTTTTTCAAATCCTCACAATTAATTTACATCTTACTGAGTTCTGGAAGAGGACCTTCCCATTTTTCTCCTAAAATGAGAAAAAAAATCAACAGTTGAAAATTGTAATATGAATTACATCAATTTAAAATCTAAAAATTTACATTAAAAAGATCACAGATTTCTGGTGCATGCATCTTCCAAGTGATCTTGATATACATACGACTACTAATAAATTCAAAACTCAAAAACAGGTTCATAAACCACAATTTGCTTTTGGAATCAATTGGATAGGGATAGGGGTAAAGAAAAAATCGGCAGATATTCCAAGAAAAAAGTCTATTTTGCCCTTTAATTTAAAGGTCGAACATGCATTGTACATGTATGCTTTAAGAGGGAGGACAAAACTTGAAAACTGATGTAACACTTTTAAATTTCTAATTGTAGCCTTTATGTGTTTACTGTGTTACATGCCCACAATTGATGAGGATTAGGATAGGGATGGGCTGGGGGTGGGGCTGGGGCTGGGGGTGGGGGTGGGGACCAGGGGGGGGGGGGGGAAGGAAGCAAAGCCTCACATTGCATACCAGAAGTATTTACAGATAAATGTGAATAACAGGAAAAGAAAGATATGCTTACCCATTATGTGTGCCATTAATTCAAACCTATCCCATCCAAAGAAAAGATGTTTCTCTCCATCTTTGTGCAATATGATGGTGGGAGCTCCAAAAGTCTGGTTTCAAAAAAAAAAAAAAAAAAAAAATCAAATTATGAGACATGGGTAAAGAAATGTAGATATGGAGTGATATAATATGGGGATACTGCGCAGGTAGAAATGCAATTAACTTGAGTATTACTTCCACTGAAATGTGTGTGTGCTTGTTTCATAACATTTCTGAAATGATAGAAACATATTTTAGGTAGAAATTGTTTGAAATGTGTGTGTGTGTGAGAGAGCGAGAGAGAGAGAGAGAGAGAGAGATTGAGAGATTCACATTCTTACCCCCATGTCGAGAGCTTCTTGTGTATTTGCCTTTAGCTTGTTTTTAATTTCATCTGTGGTCATTTTTTCTAATGCAGTTTTTGCAACATCATCAGAAAGTTGAGCTTTGGCAGCTGCCTAAAATTGTATGCAACATCATCTTTTAAATACATTTTAATTTTAAAATACCCATCAACGATTACATATTAGCAAGGACATACACACATCATGGACGCCACACACAATCACTTCATAATGCTTTTTCAAGAACTAAAAAAAAAAAGGCAAGTTATCTTAGAAAAACCTTGTCATACCTGTAGAAAACTCTCAGGCTTTGTAATGTCTTCATCCTGGAATAAAACAATCCATATAAAAATAACCTGTCACTGTGAGCACTTCCCTTTGTGTAAAGGGTCATATGACTTCATTATACTCATTATATTGAATATAGCACTTTTTTTTTTTGTTTTAGAAAGATACACAAGAGAAATTTTGCTAGTCTAAGAGCTACAATTCCTACCTTCTACCAGGGACAAATATTGATTTTTCACTAGGTATTCATACATGTAGATATGGCCCTAGCTAATCCATGACCATTTTCTCTGCCATAGAGAAATGAGGCATGAATTAGCCAGAGACATATGTGAATATCTAAAGATAAATCTATCTGTCGCCCTGGTATAGGGTAATAATTACCCTGCTCCAGACCCGCATCCAGAACTCTCTGCTGATTGGTTCTGTCTTCTCCTTCTGTAACGAGTCTACAGACAGGACATACCTCATGGCGGCCAGTGATCCTTTATTGAACATGACATCTGCTGGATCCTGTATAACAAACAGGGGTTATTTCATACAGAAACAAAGTTTAAACCAGTGAGACTTCCAGCAGAGGATGGCCTATCTTTTGGCTGAACAGATTTTTAAAATTATCAGAAGACCCCACCCCACTCTTGGTCTTGGCTAAACCCCTGCACAGAAAGGATATTTCTTTTATTGGTTTTAGTTTAATTTTTTACTGAGTGCATTGTTTAAGCTTTACATGTCCAGACCCCACCAATCAAACAGAGCAACAAATATATAATGAAAATTTTCTTGCCTACCGATGGAGCTTTTAAAGGTACCCTAAAATATTCTCCTAATCTCTTCAAGTCTTTGTCCATGTAAGCCATCTTGTTTGGCACCAGACCAGGTGGTCTATTACCTGAAATATGATAGTCATTTTTAGTATAAAACTGTACTCAAAACAGTCTGAAAATAAAGAATGTATAAATGACAGCATCCAATAAACCTACCAAGAGATTTTGTACACAAAAGTATAAAAATAATTCATATAATGATTACCAGGCAATGCTAGTTCTCTTTAAAATGTTTTCCAATTTTGACAGAGGGGCATGATTTTGCATGGCCAAATAAACTACAGAATGATTCTGTTAACAGTTAACAGTCTCCCCGCCTCCACATGCACTATTGAACGGATTAAATCTTGGCTCTTGAGTTTTAATTGCTAGACCCCTGCAGGGATGGTGCATGTGCAGGAGGGGAAACCATCAGGGAGTTAGCAGCATTGCTTTAAGTGGAGAGGTCATATTAAGTCTAAGAATCTGTTAGTTCTCGGATCAACTTGTTCCGAATGTGATCATAGAAGGAAGTGGTCCCTAGACTGTGTCCCTCGGGGTGTAACTGATATATCTTACCTGCCCCTTGCATAATGCCACCAAGAAAAAAAGGTTTCAGATGTAAGTCCATATTCCATTTTGTCTTGTACCTGGTTAATACCTGAAAGAGCAGAAAATTGCAAAAATTAAAATAAAAAAAATTTCAGACAAAAACAAAAAAATAGATTCATATATCTGCTCTTTGGTGGGAAATTCCTAGACAGGATACCTTTAATAACAACAGGCATACTTACTTCAAAGGCCAGCCAAGAATAGGGTGATATCACATCATAGAAGAGTTCTACAGTTTTCTTCACTGGGGAGCCCATTATGTGTACTAATTATGACAGTCAGCTCACAATCCTCTTAGCACCAAAATCTGTGATTTGGTCACCCTGGAAAAAACAGCAGTGCAACCCTGTTGCTTTACTTCACGTTTGAAAAGGAGGTGGCAAGTAAGATCTACCGGTAGCATGTGCACATGGTACTGTACAAGCCCTGTCTATCACCTCAGCACCTGTCTCCCCCCCCCCCCCCCCCCACACACACACAATTTTGTGTGTGTTTGTGCATGTGTGTGTGAGTGTGTTACGAGCACTTCCCTGTGTCTGGACCAACCTCCCCCTCTGAACTCCACAAACACACACATACACACACACACACACTGTGGCGTGTGTTACAGTGTCACTAAGTGTCACTGTTCGTACAGGGTACAATATAGCTATAAACATTGGGATATTTATAATAATAACAGCAATTTGCAGGTACTGGTGTGGGGAATGAGGTCGAGAGGTGAAGATATTAGGACCACATGCATAATCGGAAATGCAGGACTAACAGCTAGAAGTGAACACTTATCAAAATATGCCCCCCCCCCCCCCCCCCGCCAACTACCGCCTACCACCTTCTGTCTTGATAATAGCATTCATATAAACATTATCCAAGTTACTCGATCACAACAAAAATTGTGCTTAATATAGACAATTCTTTTGACATTGCCTTATCAAGCAATCTCATTTCTACTTACACAGTTCTGGAGGCAGAGTTGGATCTTAAAAGTAGCCGATAGGTGTACATCGGCAAGATGAGACCAATCTCAAGTCGGTCAAATTACGCTATCCTTATCTTTATTATCAACGCTATCATTGTAACTTAAGTTCACATTGTAACTTAATTCACACGAATTAACTAGCCTGGAACTAAATGAAGAAAGACAAAGAAACAAAATCAGAAATACTCATTAAACAGAAATGTCAACTGAAATATTTTAATAGTTAGGCCTAAAATGGAACAGCCACCTGCAGTAAATACCCACGTACCTTTCCAGACATGACAATAAGAGCTTATCTAGCATCGGTTGGTACTACAGAAAAGTAGCCCAATATGGAACAAGACACAGCTACAATTATTTTGACACCTGCGACAACTGATTTCAGGGGCGAGTTGCTTAGGTATGCTACGTTTAGGCTATCCTATCAGAGTTTTCCCGCAAAACCGATTTCTCCTTGATAAAAAAGTAATTTTCTTCCACACATAAATCAGTATTCGATCTGTCCTGTCCCTGCTCTTGCATTTCACGTTTATTATAAATGAAATAATTTCTTTCTAAATGACAATGAAAGTTGCCTGTAATACGTTTAGACAGCGCCATGTCTTCCTGTAGGCTACTTTTCAGAATAAACTAGAAAAGCGCAGCTCATAGAGCGCAGCTTAACCTCAGCTAAGGCCCTCATTTCTCTTTATTATTTATTGATCAATTCATCAAATAACTATTTTATAGCTTATATAGCTATTCTCATCATCAATTGTGTAGTTTTAAGAAAAAAAACTAACTGATCCTATCTCGCAATGGTGAAGAATCCTTTGAAATATTCCTGCGACCAGATGGTTAACCGGAACACCACTAAAATCTACTGTAATCACTTTTGATTTAGCCCATTTTTGTGACCTAGCCTGCATGAAAATTTCATCAAAATCCAGGGCTTTAGCTAGGGGTGTGGGGGTCCGAACAAACCTTCCTTTTGGTCGGGAAAAGGTCCGCCCTGGGTAAAAATTGATCTAAATACGAAGGTTTCGTGGTGAAAGGTCCACTTTTTCAGAAATTGCTGGTTACGGGCCTGAAATCTCATTCTTTTTAGTTAAGCCGGTGAAGCCATGGAAATTAAAGAAAGATGCACGGTAACGTGTTCGAGGATGCATGATCCAGGGTCTGCTTCTATTGGGTAGGCCTACTCTATTTGGATTGAATCGCTTTTTTCCCCGAGATTACGTTTCATAAGCTTCCATAAATTATGGTCTATATGGGGTGTATATGGCGATTTTATTAGATTTGTTGAAAAATATTTCGATGCTTTTGAGCGTTTTTTTTTTTTAATTTAATTTATTTATTTATATTATGTTTCGACTGATGTTGGACAAGTATGGTTGACAAGCATGGTTTTTAGGTTCGTTTATCAGGTGGCATCAGGGTGACAGCCTAGCGTGGTTGCACACATTCCTCAGTTTATGAAAATCTAATACACTCTGATCAGAGAGAGAGAGAGAGAGAGAGAGAGGGGGGGGGGGGGAGGGAGACGGAGAGATTGACGTGGTGAACGCTGAGTAGGCCCCTATAACCGGAGTATGTCCGGTGCACGTCCCATATTACTCATAATAATCCTTGTCGTGAGAATACAACATCCGTACCATGTACATAGGATTTGAAGATAAATAGAAGAGGTTGGAGGAAGTATACATAGCTATATTTAGATGAGAATAATTTGAGCAAATTAAAAGTGAACGTCATGGTTGCCAAAAACTTGCTCTCCGGTTTCACCTTTTTCTTTCTAATAATTTCTGCTGCTGTTCAGGCTGTTCATGCTCACGGAAGCCAATGTAGTGAATTGCTCGTATCTGGGAAGAACCCTGTTCCAGACAGCGCTATCACGGCGTCTTCGACCTGGGCCGTTAACGTGGACACGAAGCACATTCCGCAAAGGTCCCGTATTGATCTAGGCCTTGACGCGGTCGGCAACGGAGGGTGGAGCGCAAACTTCAACGACGATAAACAGTGGCTGCAGTTTGATCTGGGATTTTCTAGGAAGGTAATTTTATTTAAGATTGAAAGTGGGAATTACTGCTGAAATCTCTCTCTCTCTGTCTGTGTGTGTGTGTGTGTGTGTGTGTGTGTGTGAGAGAGAGAGAGAGAGAGAGAGAGAGAGAGCGGGGAGGGGGGCTGAGAAGGCAGCAAATCAAAGACATACGAAACAAGCGTATACATTTTTAGCATTACTCTTCCGTTTTCAGCGTCTGAATTTCAGATTCTCGAAGCGGCAGAAGCGACAGGTCGAGGTCCTGGCTGTTTCCTGTGTCCTCCCACACTCAGGCTGGAAAACGGTGGAAAACTGCAACAAACATAAATTTTTGTTAAATATTTGTTTTTTAAATTTTATGGCATTCAGATAACGGGCGTGATCACCAAAGGGAGACAAGGGTATGGAACAGACCAAAGCAGATGGCAGTACGTGACCGCCTATAGACTCCAGTACGGGAACGCAACCGATGACATGAGTGTTTATAGTGACCACGACCACGAGCCAGAGGTGAGCATCCTGTTTGATGGAAGAAAGCTTAGACGGCTTATGTTTATATCTAAATGACTGGATAGTTCATTGTTTCCATATATTTTTCATACATTGTTTCATTTTTACTCTGCGATCCGATCCTCCTGTCAAAAGACCGACTCAAATGATGTGGTCATACTTAAAAAACATGTTTTAAAGTGTCTGTAAATATATGAATTTATCATGTTTGCTTATATGATGGACTCGAGAATATTTTTCATTATTTGGATGATATAATTAATGGATTTTGAAAAAGTTATAGTCAGATTTTAACATATCGTTCTTTGCGAATTTGAAAAATAATCGACACAAGCACCAGCTCTATTTTTATCAATGTTCATCTTTTGTGTAAGATTCCAAACGGAAATTTCTTACAAACACTAAATACAGTGCTTTTTATCAGGTTATAAAGTCTTTATCAGTTTTTAAATATTGTCAAACCCTATCGAACAATTATAATGCGCTCGTAGAAAAAATCTGCAGGGGTTTAACATTAGAAAATAAAGGTGAAGGGGAAATGGTGAAATTTATGAAAGTCGAAATTTACTAATACATATACGATGGTTTAATAAACCCATACATCAACAGGTGATAATGCTCATTATTCCCAAACGTGCAATTCCAGGTGTTTGATGCCAACTGGAACCCCGTCACGCCGCAGGTGCAACTCCTTGACCCCCCTATCAACGCCAGGTACATCCGGATTAACCCGGTCAAGTGGCACAACCACGTGTCCATGCGTGCTGACCTTCTTGGATGTCCACTGACGGACACCAACAAGGCCACTATTATTGGGTAGTGGACACAGATAGGAATTGGCATACGATACGAAGTCAATGCAATGTTTCCATTTCAGAGTATTTATTTGCGCACAAAAAGCTTGCTGTCGTTGTTGTAACTTGCAGTTTGCAATAACAGTTTTTAGACTGTGTGGAAATAAACCTTTGGTATAAAATGTTTCTTTTTATTTCAAGAGAGNTTCATCTTTTGTGTAAGATTCCAAACGGAAATTTCTTACAAACACTAAATACAGTGCTTTTTATCAGGTTATAAAGTCTTTATCAGTTTTTAAATATTGTCAAACCCTATCGAACAATTATAATGCGCTCGTAGAAAAAATCTGCAGGGGTTTAACATTAGAAAATAAAGGTGAAGGGGAAATGGTGAAATTTATGAAAGTCGAAATTTACTAATACATATACGATGGTTTAATAAACCCATACATCAACAGGTGATAATGCTCATTATTCCCAAACGTGCAATTCCAGGTGTTTGATGGCAACTGGAACCCCGTCACGCCGCAGGTGCAACTCCTTGACCCCCCTATCAACGCCAGGTACATCCGGATTAACCCGGTCAAGTGGCACAACCACGTGTCCATGCGTGCTGACCTTCTTGGATGTCCACTGACGGACACCAACAAGGCCACTATTATTGGGTAGTGGACACAGATAGGAATTGGCATACGATACGAAGTCAATGCAATGTTTCCATTTCAGAGTATTTATTTGCGCACAAAAAGCTTGCTGTCGTTGTTGTAACTTGCAGTTTATAACAGTTTTTAGACTGTGTGGAAATAAACCTTTGGTATAAAATGTTTCTTTTTATTTCAAGAGTGTCCAGTACCGTTGCAATAGAGAAAATGGAATAGATAAGTTTGCTTTAAAAATTGAATTTCGAGGTCAACCTATTCATGAGTCAATGGACAAATATATTTTTTGAAGGATTATTTTATTTTTAAATTTTTACACAAATGACTCTCACAATTCTAACACAAACTTATTTCATTCAACTTATACACCACTACCAAATTCACAAATATTCAACATATTTTTGAAAAGAAAAACACAATGGTCCCTCGTGTAACTTCAAAACATTTGCAATCACATGAAAACTTCATTATTCATCTCCCTATGGATACAACATAACATCCATCATGCCATCTTTAAACCAATGGCAAAGTACCAAGAACAGACAATGCTGCATTATATTTGGTGGCATGAATGTTCCCACAAAAAAAAAAGAATAAAAAAAGAAACAAATAAACACTGAAATGGCAATAACACTTGCTCACAATTGCAGGGGATTAATTAAGAGTATCTCTTTGTAATTAATGTAAGTCACAAAAAAATCACCAATCAACTATTTACCAACTAACAGGAAAACAAACATGCTAACAATACATTTTTCCATCCATTATCCTCCTAGATCTCTATATCACCACATATACATTTCTCATTGAATCTCAATCGTTTGGGTTTGTTTAGCATTGTAGCTTATGCCTTTTACATTTCTTATATCTAAATTAAGGACAAAAACGGACATTTTTCACATGCTGACTTTTCACAGGCATCCGAGTTCCACATCATGAAATCTTGGCCAGCTGCTGACTTCTTTTATGATTGAATTCCACTATCAAATGCAACTGAGGAAAAAAAGGTATTCATAAAAATGGACTTGGATCTCTTACTCAAACCCAAATAATAATCATAAAAAGTTATGATTGAATTCAGGGAATATTGCATGTAACATACAAATTGGAACAGTTTTTTTTAAATTTATTTTTGTTCATTATATGTAAAGCCCCTTGTAAGTGACTGAGACTTCCCATCACAATGTATCATGTTCATGGTTGTTATAAGGGTAACACCATGTCACTGTCACTGTCAAATGTCCGGTTCACTCAAAGTTGTACTACGTTAAGCCCACTGCATCTCTTAACACCTATCCACTTCACTTATTAGTTTCACTTTGCAAATTCTCCTTGTCCACAATGGGTTGGTATTTCCCCAGTGCCTGACTGCCGTGTCTGTGTAGTCCGAATTTGGATAGCTGTTTTTTCTGCATAATGACGCGAGGAGAACTGCTGTCTATGAAGGCCAGAGGCGATCGCGGTGGCGTTGAGCTGTCCAATGGGAAGAGGGATTTTGGTTTGCTGCGCTTTTTTAGCTTCCTGGCAGAAAGGGGCTTGACTTTCTTGTCAGAGTTTGGACCTGAAGTTATAATGTATAATTGTGACAATTTTTAACAACATAATAAAGGAGTAACTGGAGTAGTTAAAATTTCTTTGTGGAAAAAAATTGTTCCATTTTTAAATACTTTGACTAAGCAATATAAAAACCACTAAAAATTAATATTATAACTAATAAACAAATTTACAATGATAGTGTTTCTGATAATTCAGTATAAAAACTACCAAGTAAATCATTAGAAGTTCTTCAAGAACATAAATGTAATTTTTCAACAGACATTACTTTTCATACACCATGAAAATGAGACTGAAACAGGATAAACAAGAATTTTGTTTATACTCAGTCCAGTGCTACATTGATCTTTTTCTCTTCAGCAATGCCAAACTATAAGATGCATTGGAAATTCAATTTTTTCATTTAAAAAAATATCACATTTAGAATATTGGCAATCACACTGCCATTTTTAAAATAAAATGATAAAAGTGACTGACTTACCAGAGTTAGTTTTGGCAGGGAGTGTAGAAGTCAGATCAGGCTCAGAGGCAGACCTGTTGAGAAGCAGCGTGGTGACATTATCGCTGTCTGTCTCGTCAGGGGGCAGCTCTAGTGGAGGGAGGTCCAGACCAGAGTCGTCAAGGTTCAGGGTGCTCAGCGGGGTATCACCATCTTCTACAGGAAAAACTGCAGCAGGAAGAATAAGTACTGATTTAAATATGTTGTTGAACTGACTCATATTTCTACAACTGACTTCAAAATAATAAATAAAATCAGTCACTCAGTCTAGATGAGATTCAGAGGAAACTTTCAGCAAAATTCAATAAAATTATCAATAATAATAACAATGACATTAAATACAAAAAATACATAATAGATTAAATAAATAAAAATAAATAAGCAAACAAAATATTTTCTTCATCCTGTTTCTCACCATTACAGAAAGTAATATTAGCAGAACAAAAAAAAAAAAATGAAACTAATTTCTCAGCAAAAAAGTTTTCCCTCATTTCTAACAAACCAACAACATCAAGTGACCTATACAACACTAACCCTCAGCCTTGTCCATGACCAGTGGTGTCCTGCAGATGCCCACAGTGGGTGACCTGGGGTCAGCCTGGGCCAGCTTGACCTTCTCCAACTGGAGAGGTGTGCGAGTGATGTGGGTGGTCGGGGAACGGGGGTCCAGGTGTGACGGCAGACTCTTCTCCTGCTGTGGGGTTTTAGCCACATGGTTTAAGTCTGCATCTGGAGTTTTCTCAACCTTAGAGAAATGATGTTTTATTTATTTATTTACTAGCAGTGGTACAATTGATATTCTGTTTTTGTTGGCATGGTGTACACTGCTTCTAAAGTGCTCAATTTGTTAGATTAACTCACTGTATGTGCGTGTAACGGTGTAAGCTCTACCTAATTATTAAATCTACTAACTAAAACGAAATTCATTTTTAGGCTATAATAAAAATTAGTTTAGAAAGATCAAGTTTTTTTGTTTTCTGTTAGCCAAGTTTTTTTTTTTAAAGAATGAGACACTATGCATTTTCTTATTACTTAATTAAAAAATGTAGCCTCTTAGCATCTACTTATCAATTTCACCTCCTAGTAAATTCAATTTACTAGTAAATACCTGAATAGGAGTTCTGTTGATCCCAACAGTGGGGGACCTGGGGTCCATTCTCAGCACTCTCTGGGGCACTGCTGAGGCTGGGGAAACCTGGTCTTCATCTTCATTCAATATTTCAATAAACTCCTGTGAATTCACCGAGCCCATGGTGTTTTACAAGCAGACGATGACTGTGTTTCAGTTTGAAAAATTTATTCTGCTGCAGACGACTCCTGTATAAAAAATAAATAAAATATGTATGAAAATTCCAAATACAAGATATCTTCTTTTAAAATTTGGAACTCATTGAGGGTTCAGCTTCAGGGCCAGTATTTATATCCACATTTAGTACAGTAGGGGACTTCATTAATCGTAAATTAAACTAAATGCTGATTATTCATGTTTATCTTTCAAGTTCCATTCATCTTAGTGCAGATAGAGATGGTATAAAGTTCAATCCACAAAGATCAATACAACGAACATACCCTTGCATTGCAACTCAAATCCAACATTTCTCGTCATAATAATCATATCAACAAAGCTAGATCTAAACATCGAACTGAACCTAACATGTTGACAACAGATTGAAATGCAAAAGACAATTTTGATTGTAAAGATATCCTTGATACAACTTAAACAAAATTTACTTTAACATACAGGCAATCCAAAATGCAGTTACCTTACAAACCTGTAATAAATGGAACATTAAATGAAATATTTACAGAGCACCTTTCACCGTCTGAAAACATAAACTCAGCTCATTTTAAAGTTCGCGCTCTAGCCAATCAAATTTGTGTTTGAACTTGAAAGGAAGTGCAGGGTATTTAATGGCTGATGAATCGGCTTCTTTGATTGGCCATCTAATCTCATTCTTAAACATGGCGGCCTCCATGATGCAGCATTTGTCAAAGATTCGCATCCCATCAGGAGGCGAAAAAGTCTACAAAGATGAATGTGTTTTCTCATTCGATAATCCAGTAAGTATGCAAATAAACCGTAATAATTTTCTCTTTATATAGATTACGAGTGCTGTCCTCAGGATCCGTAAATTTGTTGTAGTTATTTGGGCCGGCAAAATGTTATTGAAGAATGAAGTTTGTGTTGTTATCTACTTCCATTCATGTCTGCATGGAATGGTGGATTGTTCTCTATCATCTGTTCTTATTTTCAAAGGAATCAGAGACAGGACTCTATGTTTGTCTTAATTCTTTCCTGGGATTCGGAAGAAGACACGTTGAGAGGTATTTTCGCAAGACTGGGAATGCAGTTTTCCTTCATTTGAGAAGGATAAAAAGAGAGGTATGTGAAGACACATCCACTTTGATTAAAATTAATAATGGATTTCTGGAAATGGGTTGTCCCAGGAGCCAATTACAGTGACACTTGTCATTGATATTTTACAAGTGATAGCCCTGTATTTGAGTAATGAATATAAAACATTTCCATGTATTCTATTTTATCTTGTTACAGCTTCCCAAGTCAGATGAAGAACCTGAGAAAAAGAAGCCTACCAAGCTTGCCATAGGTTTGTGTGTGTGTGTGTGTGTGTGTTTGTCAGGGGAGATTGAACCATTAACACAGAGAGGACCCTTGCTTGAAATTGAAATGAAAGAATTTGTGTGAAAGTTTTAGGTTCAGAGTTTATTAGAACATTTTATCATATAAAACTCTGTCTTTTTCTGTTCATTGAAAGAATTAAAAAAGGGTCTTTTTTCTTTTTATTAAAGGAATTACGGTAATTGTAGTCCCAGTTAATATTAACATTTAGAAAATTGTTTACTAAATCTGTAATATAATATTATATGTAGGAATAAAATGAACTAGCTACTCTTTTTGAATAGTCAATATATTTCACATTTGTATTCAAAATATTTTTAATGTACAATTGATCTTTATTATTATTATTATTATTATTATTATTATTATTATTATTATTATTTAAGGTATTGAAGGAGGATTTGCAGTGGATGAGAAGAAGTATGATTTTGAAGAACACAACTCTGTGGTGGTCCTGCCAGACTGGACCAAGATTCCACTTCCCAATACAGAGATCCCTGACATGGTATTAAAACCGATTATGTAATAATAACAACATAAATTGAAGAGTTGTTGATCCTTATGGTTTACTGGCCATACGGAGCAACACTATCCTAGTATTGAAACAGGATTCACTGGTCCGAACTTAAAGTTTCAAGAAGACTGGCCATTCCGAAATTAAAGTTTCAATAAGACTGGCCATTTTCCTCTATTGCATTAATATTAGTGATAACAAGACCTTGATTTTTTCAAACTTCCTTTTAAAAATAAAATCATGTTGCAGTTACATTTCAGAAAAGTTAGATCAAACTGTAATCTATTTTGAAAACTTAAAAAAAAAGTTTAATGGCCATATTTGACCAATAAATTCACACATTGTGAAAAGTCTGTTGGTCCATACAAAATTTTCCTGGCTAAGAAGAGCAAAAGGCTTACAACGCAGACTCTAGTTATAATGATGATGATAATTAAATAATTATGCTATTTTCAGTATATGTATATTAAATAAACAGTGTAAAATTATTTAAAAAATAAATATAGAGAAATATGTAAGACCAGTTTGATTACAGTATCCAGACGGTTGTCTTTTACAGTAGTTTTAAACAGTACTACTAATAGGAAATTCATGAACTGTTTAGTTACATATGAAATGTTCCGTCAAATTGCTGTTTGTTACAGGTATCTCTGTCAGTTGCTGCAGTGTTGGCAGCAGAGTCTGCTACCAAACTGGCAGAGGCTGCAGCCATGGCTGGAACATGGGAAGGAGAAAAGAGAATTGTATCCAAGTAAGAGTTGCAGATTATGTTTATATGAGTGGTTCGTGATGCTTTTTAAAAGATATAAATCTAAACTACTTGGCCATGGGTTATTATTCCCCAAATATTTCAGAGTAATAAGTTTCCATACATGGATATAAAATTTAAGTGAATTTATCTCCTTTTACTTTTTACATGTTTGGAAAGAACACATGTAAGACTGAACATTTTATGCTGATAGGCTAAAACAAGCATTTTAGACTTAGCACTGTATTTGATATTTTTCCCATATTTGTGCTAGACATGCTGAAAACTTAGTGCAACTAGACAATGGCAAAAAGATCCCTCCCAAAGGTTGGAAATGCGAAATGTGTGATCTGACCTCAAACCTCTGGCTCAACTTGACTGATGGCGCCATCTTGTGTGGACGTAAATTCTTTGATGGTTCCGGTGGAAACAATCATGCTGTTGATTACTATGCACAAACCAAGTACCCTCTTGCTGTGAAACTGGGGACTATTACTCCAGACGGGGCTGGTAAGTTTAAGTTTACACCCTACCCTTAGCCCACTTTGGGACCAGTATTTATTTATTTACTTATTTATTTTTGCCAAATATCTAGTTTTAGTTATCTCAGTATTTTAAATTGGATTAAATTAATACAGAATGTGGCCAGTAGGAAAAGTATGATTAATTTTTTTTTTTTTGGCCAAACAAGCACTGAGTAAAAGATTTTGCTAAACAAAGCCTAACTGCTTATTAAATCATATTTAGAGCATTTGTTTGGTGATATGATAGTGTTCTGTTTAAAGGTATTGTTCTTTTACTTAGAGCTGATACATATTCATATCTGAACTTATTATTTTGAGCTATTATAATATGTTTTAAAAATTAATAAATGAAAGAAAGATAATGCCATATGATGCTAAATTAAGTGGCTGCTGAGCGTATTTTTTTTTTATACGTTGCATTATCTTAAGATTGTGGTTTCCCTTTAGATGTGTATTCCTATGATGAAGATGACATGGTGGAAGATCCATATCTGGCCAAGCACCTGGCTCACTGGGGTATTAATGTGGCTGCCATGGAAAAGGTAGGCAGAGGGTGGTATATTTTGTATCATGTCCAGTTATAGACTGACACCATAATTTATTGTTTTGTATGTGTAATATGACCCATAATAAGAATAGGAGTCAGGACATTTTCTGTTTCACTTTATATAAAAGATGGACAATCTGATTCATTTTTTAAAACATCAAACTTAATCATTTTCGTACTGGAAAAATGTACATTATCTCCATGAGTCAGAAAAAGAAGTAAAGAGTTGCATTGGCATGATTGCTTATGTTTTTTTTGAAATTCATTTTTGTATTACTGACAAGTAAGACTCATCTTTATGGTAATCCTCACATATATAATTTTTAGACTGATAAAACCATGCTAGAACTGGAGATAGACTTGAACCAGAAGATAGGAGAATGGGATGTCATACAGGAAGCAGGGAGCAAGCTAGAGCCTGTCTATGGTCCCGGCTACACTGGCATGCATAACCTTGGCAACAGCTGTTACATGAACTCTACCATGCAAGTGCTCTTTTCCGTGCCAGAGTTTAAACAGAAGTGAGTACAATGTAAAACACATTGTAAATCTGTTTCTGGAATTAAAACGTCTGCTGAAAAAGACTATGATGACCAGAAATAAATCAAAAATGTTTATGTTATCTCAGCTGGATAGTTTCATAAAGTTACAGTAGACCTCATATATAACAACTCCCTTAAACCGGATACTTGTCTATATCGTACTTTATCTGGGAGTCTTGATTCCACCTACGGCAGAGATTTTGCATATAGCAGACAATTCAGCCAGGCTGGATTAGTGTGTTATATCACGAGACTACTGTATAATACAGTGCTATTACAAAAATTCGTAACTTGGGTAAGTGGTATGGAAAAGGAAAAAAAAGAAGAAAAATAAAAAAGTCTTTTAAGCCGTTTTCATTGAGTTGCATTTTTTTAGTTGCATTCTTTACACAAGAACTTGTGGTGAAATATATTTTACAATATAATTTTATAGATATGCAGACCAAGCTGAGAGTTACTATGACAGTGCTCCATTAGACCCAACCAATGATTTTAATGTTCAGATGTAAGTATGGAGGCTTGAAAGATCTGGAAGATTTTTAAGTTTGTTAATCAAATGGGTTCATGGATTGGAAAACTGTTTATGCCAATTAAAGTAATTTGCCAGTAGGTAAAGCATAAGAGAAAAAAAGTTGCCTTGGGCTCAACTTTAGGTGGTATTTCATGCACTTTCTTGAGATAATGAGAAAGTAACCAAATCATTCAGTAATTAATACTACCATAGTTGTTTACACACTCTAAAGTATATCAGTTCGCTTGTCTTTAGATTAAAAGTCAACATTTGATGACATTTTATACAGTGAATTTCATTTTTTTATAAGGGCCAAACTTGGCCATGGACTATTGTCTGGTGATTATTCTAAGCCAGAGGAGCCTGAAGACAGCAATGGAATAAAAGTTGTGGTAAGTGTACTAGCATATGACATTAGAAATTGTAAGTGATATTGTAAATTCATAAGCATAACTTTCCAGAAATGTTTGAAATGCCAAAATTTTGCTTGTGTATCAAGTCTAGAAATGTAAGGTGAAAAAAAAAATACTGGTCAATTTTTTTTTTTACTATTTTTAGGTGTAGTGCTATACTTAAATATAATTATACTAAGAATGAGTGAGCATGTGTGATTACTGGTTTAAATGTCTGTATTGCAGGTTTTTAACTTCATTGTAAGATTGTTGGTTTTGCTATCATATGGAATAAGAATTTTTCTTAAAGTCTGTAAATGATATGCTGTTGATAAATTGCAGAAACCAAATGGGATTCGTCCACACATGTTTAAGAACTTAATAGGGCAAGGACATCCTGAATTCTCCACTAAGAGGCAGCAAGATGCACAAGAATTTCTACTACACTTAATATCAGTGATAGAGGTAATGTTTTTATCATTCCTTAACATGTAACAAATTTCGCTGAATTCACAATGCATATTGTTCATTTATAGGATTCTAAGATATCAATGTAAGCACATCAGATTAAAAAAAACATGTAAAAATAATGCGTTTTTGAGAAAAATAGAAATGAATAATTATCAAGTTTTATGTGTATAATCTTTCAGTGTGTAACAGCTTGTATTATGAGAAGAATCAGATTTTTGAAAAATAAAAAAGTCTGTTTGCTTTTCTTTTTCAGAGAAACAGTCGTAACTCTTCCAATCCATGTGATTGCTTTAGGTTTGAGGTAGAGGAGAGAATCAAGTGTATACAAAGCCAGAAAGTTAAATATACAAAGAGGGCAGATTACATTCTAGCTTTACCCATCCCACTGGATGCCTTAGTCAACAAAGGTAACATAAGAGATTAATTGAAGTTTTTTAAGGTGCTGAGCTCTTTTTTTCTTATACTTTTTCTGTGCTCTTATCAAGATTAATTAGACATTTTCAAACACAAAGTTTACTTTTTGGTCAGTCCCAACTTTTCAAAAACTTGTGCCTTGGCATTTTTCAAGTAATGAGGTTACCTTCTACTTTCAGATGAATTTGCAGCATATGAATCAAAACGGAAGGAAGTAGAGGCTAGTGGTGACAGACTGTAAGTTATTCAGTCACTCAAAAAATACCTTAATTTGTTTACATATTTTAAAAATAAGGTATATCTTTCAATTTACTCTTCTTTATAATATCTACGAAGCGTGGTATTGATACTCTAGAATTATTTCATGAAATCCTTAAAGCTTATCTTAAAATTTGCTTCTCTTGAAATGACAATTAGAAGTGTAGATTGGCTGAAGCATTTAGTTCTCAAAAATATGGTATGTGTGTGGTGATATGGTATGTGGTGATGTTTCAGTGACCCCAAGGAGTTAGTCAGACCTAAAATCCCTCTGAAGTCATGTGTTTCGGCCTTTGTTGTATACTTTCAGTGACCCTAAAGAGCTAGTCAGGCCAAAGATTCCTCTGAAGTCATGTATAGAAGCCTTTGCTGCCCAGGAAATGGTTGATGACTTTTACAGCACTGCCCTCAAGGCCAAATCAGTGGCCCAGAAGTATGTAAAACTTATATATTCTGCTTGTTATCACTTTTATTTTGTATATCAGTTATGAAGCATAATTGCATCCTCTAAAATCATCCAGCACATCTGAAAAATTCAGTCAAATAACAGATTTTTTCTTATAATGTGAAGGTAGGATTACATATTAATATTTAGCTAAACAAGAATGAAGCTATACAATTTTCACATTTGAATGTAACTAAAGACTGCGAGTTTCTATAACATAAATATATTCATTCAATTTGAATTAAGCTTGAAATAAATTAATTTAAGTCAGTAACCAATAAAAAAAGAAGTAAATATTAATAAATTATTGTTTGAAACAGAAATGTAGATTTTTTTTGTGATATAGGAATAAGCTAATACTTTACCAGCCAACCTTCTGCTTGCTGACAGTGTTTTCAGCATAACTTGTCACAGTATACAACATGTTTTCCAATTTCAGAATGACGCGGTTGTCCACATTTCCAGATTATTTGATCATACAGCTGAAGAAATTCACAATAGGGGATGACTGGGTACCAAAGAAGTTAGGTAAGAAGTGAGATGAAGTTGATAATGTTTAGATGCTCTTGAGGATTTCTATCCTCTGTTTTGATTTGCAATCTCCATATTGTTCTGCAATAATATGTGTTTCTGAGTTATTTGCTATACAATAATGTTCTTTATTATTTAGATATAAATGGTGAAAAATATGGAAATGAAATACAGATAAATTACAGTTATTTATTTTGCATCTATCTAGCATATTTTCAAAATATGTCTGCATTGTTATTAATGTTATTACATTGAGAGATTAATAATGACATTTTTCATTGAGATTTACAAGTAAGTTGTCAAAATGTCCAAATTGACATAATCATGTGTAGTTATACTATGGTGTTATGTTCTTATCAAAATATTTTTTAAAAAATTAACACTGACAATCATATACACTGTGTTCCAGATGTCTCTGTTGATATCCCAGATGACCTTGACCTTAGTGACCTGAGAGGTCAAGGTCGTCAGCCAGGAGAGGAAGAGCTGCCTGAGGAAGCTGGAGATCAGAGTGAAAAAGGTTAGAAGCTGTCTATTATGTTTGCACATTTTTACATTGAAATTCATTTCAGTATTATTTATTAGGTATGTTTTAAAATGATATTTTCAAATGTTACATGATTAGAAATTCCAACTATCCTTAAATCAGTTCTTTTAAAAGTCTTTTCAGTGAATTTTATAGCTCAGCTTGTTAGGCATATTATTTCATTCAGATTAACATGAAGCAGTTAATCCAGAAACTGCATCTCTGCATTTTTCTTGGCACATGCATAATTAGTGTCAACCAAAAGCGACAGATTAAACATTTGAATGGGCCTGTTGCCTGTTATTCTATAAAATTTGGGTTAAAGCTGACAATGATGAATGAAGATGTATTTATTTGTACACATTCAGTGACAGTGGATGAAGCTGTGGTGCAACAGCTGGCAGACATGGGGTTTCCTGCCAATGCCTGCAGGAAGGCTGTGTACTATACTAATAACACAGGGGTGGAGTCAGCTATGAACTGGGTCATGCAACACATGGACGACCAAGGTTTGTCCTCTCTCTCTCTCTCTCTCTCTCACCCAAATCTCATGGCTTTCTCTTACTCGCTCTCTCTCTCATGTGATAGTGTGTGTGTGTGTGTTTAACTAGATAAAGAATATTAAGAAGACCAAGATATGCCTTATTTTAGTGACACACTAATTCATCTTTTTTTCCTATTCTCTCCCATCACATCCAGCCATGATTTCTAGAATTACCAGTATGACTTATTATATCCATTCTTAATTTGTAACCATATGTCATATGGGCATCAGACTTTTTTCAAGGTATGTAGTCAAGTGCCCTTTGGTGTGGAGAACACTTTCCTCTTTTCACCTAGATTTTGCTGAGCCTCTTCAAGTTCTGGGGCAACCCAAGAGAAATGACTTTGCCGTGAGTGAGGAAGGCCTGGCCATGATTATGTCCATGGGTTTCAGTGGCGAGCAGGCCGTCAGAGCCCTGAAAGCAACAGTGAGTTGATCACAGAACGTCAAGTTCTCTAATTGATACCCTTTGTTTTTTCACCACTACATGGGTGTGTTTTTCTCTATATAAGTCAGATTTTCCTTTTCTGATTTATCATCCTATGTCATTGTGTAACAAAAAAGATTTGTAGATTTTTACAAGAAGGAATAATTATTAGGTTTTGCCCTTGAACATTCATCATGAAATTAAACCTAGTATAAAGGGGTGGGGAAACTTGATGTGGTTTACAGATATTTTGGGAAATGATTTTGGTTTAGACACTGAGGATATAAGTAGTGGAATTGTAATTTTTTTCATTGCAATTCTCATAGGACAATAACACAGAGAGGGCTGTGGATTGGATATTTAGTCACGCAGACGAATTGGACCAACCTATGGAGACAGAGGCAGAGTCAGCATCTGATTCACAGCCAAAGTATAGGGATGGGCCAGGAAGTAAGTGTCCATGTCGAACCATTGCTCTCAGGAATTATCTATTTTCAACGTTAATTATTATTTCACGCTTGATTTTTTTCCATTTAAGTACAGTTTTTTTTCTTCACTTTTTAAGATGATTTTTCCTAAAGTACACCTTTATTATACTTGAAAATCTCTGGACGTGTTAGTTGTATTTTAAACTTTTTTTCAGTAACACATTTCAGAAAGAGCCTTTTCCTTTTTGCAGTATGTATTGTAACCTTGTTCTCTTTGTTTCAGAGTACAAACTTCTTGGCTTCATCAGTCACATGGGAACATCTACCCTAGTGGGCCATTACGTGTGCCACATACGAAAGGAAGGGAGGTGGATCATCTTCAACGATGAGAAAGTTGCACTTTCAGAACACCCTCCAAAGGACTTAGCTTATCTATATGTATATCAGAGAGTGCAGTAAGGGCTCCATACTGTAAAATGTAACAGAATCAAATTTCAAAGAGGAAATTGTGCTTTCTGAACACACTCCTAAGGATATAGCCTATCTCTGTTTTTCTCAGAGAATACACAAAATATTGCAAAGTAAATGTGAAGAAGAATTAGAGTTAGCTGTGTCAAAGTTCTGCTTCAAAAAAACTGGGTCACTCACATAGATAAGGTTTTAAACTTTCACTCAAAACTATTCTTAAATGTATACCATTATTATTTAGTGCCTTCTGTAAAAGACTGTCAAGTGGAAAGGTGTAAACTGAGAGGGCTCATAAAATATTTCTGCAAATATTATCAAAACTCAAAACAAACTCAGTGCAGTTGTGTCTATTGTATAATTCTCTGTTTGCATCTTTTGGTTATTTGTGTGGACTATGTCATTATGAGTTGACGTTATGTAAATGTCAGTTTTAAAACACATAGCATTTAAATGCTAATATCTGCTGTTAGATAAGTGATTTTACACAACAGGGTTCATTGTGTACAACATTTATGTTCACTACTATATTAATGTAAGGTTGAGCATGGGAATGTGATGGGCCTATTTGCAATGATATATATTGTAACAAGAACACGTGAAAACTGCCAGTTGAAAGGAGTTTTGTAATGTAGAAGGGAAAAGTCGCTCTGATAACCTTTTGTTAATGTTGGAAATTTTTACCAAAACATGATGCATCAGTAGTTCGTATATGTTGCATGCTATCTTCTACTTAGTTTGTAATATCACAAGGTCAACTTGGTATAACTTAACAAGTACAACTTGAACATTTATCTCTAGTTGGTGAAACTGGATGGGTTCAAAATCCTTAAAAGTTTTCAATTTTGTTATGTCTACCTGGTTAAGTTTGTACAGGTGTTTGAATATCTATCTCATACTCTAGAGCATCACAAGGGTTCAAAACCCTTTGTTCTGATGAAGATGCAATTGTCCCATTACAAAAAAGAGGACTTTAATGTTCAAAATGTGCCGAAGCTATGGATACTGGGTTGCAATTTCACGCTTTCTGAATTAATGCAGTAGTTAGTCACTGTTTTACAAGTTAGCTAAGAGAAAAAATTACTTATGTTTGTTACATGCATTGTACTGCTAGATTCAGAAATTGCTGCGGCCACTGGTTGATGTTTAAAATGCAGGTTAACAGCATTGTCTGTTATTAAAATATTCTTGAAATCTACTAAACTTTGTCTTGATTTTGATACCTGAAAAGAAATGCCCTATGCCATTTGGTCTTGTGGAGGCTTGTGTACATGTTCTCAAAAATTTTATTAAATATTGTCATTAAATTTCCAAATTTCTAAAATATGCCATTTAACAAGGCAAAATTAAAAATTATAAATAAGGTGAAAATACATCAGTGTATCTTCTGCTGCAGAAAAAAGAAAACGAAGCCATCTCCAGTAAATGAAAAGTGCACCATTTATTACTTTCCTTATCATTCTGAGCATATCCAACTTATGTAATGCCCTGTTCTCTTTGGCTTATTTAAATAAACATAATGATTTCATTTTCCCCTATTTCATCAATTTGTATGGCCAGGAACTCAAAGTTGGTCTTGTCTTGGTCATCCAGTTTTTGCGTAAACATCTGACACATTGCTCCATCTATTTTTGCTCAGTTTTATTAACTTTTTCAGTGCTCATTGCCAAATGCACTGCATTTAGTTCCCTGTAACAAACATCAAGAGCTTTCTGATATTTCCATGGCAGCAAATTTGGCAGAATTTTCATCAGTAACAACACTCAAAGGGTAAGTAGTAGAGTGCTGAACAGCACCTGTTGCATTGCTTTCAGTCTCTCCTTGTTGCCTTCCACCCTGGTGACTTATTTCACTGCTACCTTTGGTGCTGGCCTTGTCAATTCTCCTGTCACTACCTGTGGGTTTCACTTTTGTATCAACTATTAGATCATTATTGTTCTCTGTTTCTCCTGCTGAGAAATTGAATGTAAAGTTTTGCCCACTGGGCATCATTCTGTAGTAATTGACACTTGCATTTGAATCCACTTTTGTAACAGCAGGTTCCCTCTCGTTTTCCATTATTACATCACCCACAGCTGACTTTTCTGATGAATCTCCTTCTTTGTCTGAGTTTAACTGAAAACTGAACTTAAATCCAGATCCGATATTGGACATTATAGAGCCACAAGATGTGTTGGAGTTCTGTGAATCATTTGTCTGGCCTTGACTATTGACATGCTGAGACTTTCTAAGGAAAGTACTTGATTTCTGGGAGTGTTTCTGGGGTGCTGGTTTGAGGCAGATTTTCTTGGCACCTGTAGAAATAATAATTTATTATCCATGAATCATTAAAAACACCATACCATTTTTACTTATCAGTAATTTCAAACATTAAGATGTTGCACCACAAACTTAAACATATCAAGAAAGTCTCTTGTACTGTACGTCAAAACACTGCTGCTCTATCAGCACTTTGTTGTTATATGAACCCCTAACCATCTCTCTCTCTCTCTCTCTCTCTCTCTCTCTCTCTCTCTCTCTCACACACACACGCACACAAACACACACACACACTCTTACATAAAAGCTGTAACTAGGCGAGTTTAAAAAATGTTCCCATTTCTTCATTCCAGTAGCAGTATCACAGAGCATATGTTTGGTAGAAATAAGATGCTACCAGTACCCTGAAGATGGGGAGGGGTGGGGGTGTGGGCTGGGGGTAGGGCTAAAGTATTATAAATAGACCTACTTGCAGCAAATCGTTTCTCTTCTTCTTGCATTTTCTTTCTATAATCGCCAAATGTCATGCGCATCATTTGCCGTTTCTTCACAAGTGGTGCCTTAGGGTTCTTAAGAGTCTTGAGGATTTTCAGCGAGTCTTGCACTGGAAAAATATATTAAAATATTTGTGCATATTTGTGTGTAAATGTGTGTGTGTGTGTGTGTGTGTGTGTGTAAATAAATGACAAGCAGTAGATATAAAATGACTAATTTATCACCAAATCAGAGCCAAGTTTGCAAAAATATAAAAATAAACTATAAAATGGTCTTCTGAATTTTCTCTATTGGCACAAAAAGTTTCTTTTATCCTTTCCTGGAACACTTAAAATAAATTGTAATTGTAGTTCAATGCCAGCCCATCTTTGGTACTAATTCAAAGCAGACGTAAATGACTACGTACCTTGTTTAGAATCTGCTTTCTGTGATGCCAGGCCAGCTTCAAGCTGCTGAATACACCACACCAGCTCTCTTTCCAGACTTTCCTAAAATGGCAAACATTTTCTTTTTTCATATGAAACTGAATCAAAACTGGGGATGCTGACCTGCAATGTCTGAGAATGATTTTATGTGCATATCAAGCTTTCTCTATCTTCTCCTCTTGAAAATTTGTTTGGCTACTTAAAGCATTCTAAAACCAATATTGAAGGTCATTAAACATGTATGGACACCTGACATCCCCAGCTGGATTTACTATGCAGTCAACACAAAAGGTTTGGAGCTTAATACATGGGAATGGTAGTGATACAATGTTAGACAACTGTAAATGCTAGTTAGATATATTTCAACTACATAAGCAACAGTTAGGGTTGTACACAAAAAACACCCCTTGTGCATTCAAGAAAGATTCATGAATTGATCCATAAAGAATTAATTGGCATAAACTGTTCAAGCAAATTAACCTGTATATCCATAACACCAAGCTGTTAGTATGCAGTAGAATCAATATGTTGAACAGAATAATTATTCCTGAACTTGGTTTAAATTATGTTATACCTCAGGGGAGAGTCCATTATCTGGTGTGTCAGGGTTTGTATTTGAACCAGTATCTCCACCAGCATCTGACTGAAGTTAAAAGTCCAAATAACAATTATATTAGTTAATATTATATATAAAAGTTAAAAACCTCTTTCAAAACTTTTAATTTAAAAATATGATCTCTTTTAGATCCTTTAAGACACTGTATAGTTTACTAAAATGTGCTCAATGTAATTATCAGGACCAACGATTGAGACTTATAAGCGTGGGATGGTTGTCCTTATTTAAAATCTGGACATCGTGTGAATTATCAAAATAATGGGATTGAATGAAACTGCACGCGATTAGCACGACTACATTGTATGTCAATAAATCAACGGAGACACTGACATTTCTTGAAACATTAGACACACAGAGAACTGTGTATTTACAAAAAATGGGTCAAATGTGCATTTTCATCTTACTGATCCTTCATTTTTTCGTTTCTGTCTAGGGGGTCGTTTCTTGTTGCCACTTTTCGGTCTCGGCGGCTTGCCACGATCTGCCATGCTGAGTTTACTTCTCGTGTCCTAGATTTTTTGTATCACGTGACACCAGAAATTTAACCCAAATTTACGGTTATTTAGGTGAACAAATTGTACTAATTCCAATTTAAAACTATGAATATGTTATATAGATACCATCAGGAAAAAGTTATCGCAATACGTAGCGATTTTAGGTATCAGCACCACATCAAGGAAATCAAGTAAACGAGACTATGAACGAGATTTCGTCTGCAAATTGTAAACATGGCGGAGAGTGGGGGCTTGGCCAGAGTTTTGGGGAAAGCAGGGTTTGACCCTAAACCATGTAAGTGAGATGGAATTGATATGGTTCCCTTGGCGTGTTTGTGTGTCCTGAAAGTTATGTATGAAATCATTTTATGCTCTGGTTCATGCTATTTGTGATTTGAACATGCCTAAACCACTGGCAAGCTTCAACATTAAACATTATACTTTCACACATCATGCATTTAAACTTTTTCTTTTTAATGGAGTTCCAATTTTAAGCTGATTCTCCCTCACTTTCTAAGCTGTTATTGAATTTTAATATTTCAGTTGTTAATAGCATTTCCCAGGGAGGCGAGGAAGACCTGCAGAATAACAGAAGAAAAATACAATCCTTAGCAGAAGATACAGCCCAGGCCTTGAAGAAGAATGTTTACAGGAACTATTCACAGTTTATTGAGACTGCCAAGGAGGTGTCCAGTATCCTTATATCCACAATACAATAAGATTAAAAGAGGGATGAGAATTTACTGATTAACTTGGCCCTCTGGACCCCTTTGCCATATTTTCTGACATTTTCACTAAATGGCAGTCTCATCGCTGTTTAGATCAGGTTATCCATTTAAATACATGTAAATCTTATATTAACAAGATAAGAGAATAGGTAATTCATTTATTCCTTTTCTTTTGGCCTTGATCTTTTTTATAAAGCACTTATACATGTAAAATTGAACAGCTATAAGATTTCCTGTCTTCAAAATGTGTGTTCCTTCACTGTGATTTTTAGTCCTTGAAGGAGAGATGTACCAGCTGAGTCACATGTTGTTGGAACAGAAAGCTATCATGGGGGCTATGTTGGAAACTTCTCTCACAAGTGACAAAAGTAGGTGGTTACTACTCACACATAAACATATTTTTACGTCTCATTTATGGACTAGATGCTATTTAATTGTACTGAGCTTTTAATTATTGTCATAATATTAACTGTTGATTTTCTTTTGAAAATATTTATGTCATAGATTTCTGTTATTAAATACTAAATGATGATCATTATGGGAATATTAATTACTTGGAATTTTTAAAAGAATTTGATTAAATGATGAGCAAATGTATAATTTCTATTTGGCAGACTCGACTTTCAAAATTTTTTGGGAAAAAGGGCTTCAAAATTTGCAATTACAAAAGAGATGAGTCAAATGTTTCATGTTATTTATTTTTGAAATTATTTAAGACACATAGCAACTAATCATGGACTTTTTACCTCCATAGTTGAACTTCCTAAGGAGAAAGTAAAAGAGGAAACCCCAGAAGAAGACACAAGGAGAAACCTAGCTTTCCTTTTGGAGAAAGTGGAGGGATGTTCCGTAAGTGGTGAAAAATAAAATTGCTGAATAATTTTGAAGCTGCTTTAGAAATGTCATAAAGATTAAAGCCTCATGTTAAGATCACAGGTTTTTGCCCTTGGCTTTTGTCTGTTAAATGTTTACAGACTATTAAACAAGGTATTACAAGAAAAAATTAAAAGTTCTCAGTTCTAGTTAATACTAAAACAAACTGTCAAACTGAAATTTAAAATCAAAGAGGTACACAGTTTCCCATTCTAGGTATAGTAACAGTTGCCATTATCATGATTAAAATTTGTAATTGCAGAATATCACTGCAGTTCAATTCCCCCCAAAAAAAAAAAAAAAAAAGGACATATGAAGAATGAATATTAAACAAATGAATATTGGTCTTTATTAAATTACTGTTGATCTAAAGCACGCTAGAAACAACTAACAATTGAGAATTATCTTATAATGGACAGAGTATCACAGAGGTGCCTGGGCGCCACCTGATCCACAACGGAGACCTTGTAGAACTGGACCCAGAGAGTTACTCCGCTCTGAAGAAAGTCCACGCTTTCCTCCTGAATGACAGCTTGATGATTGCTGACTGGTTGCCCTCCAGGTGAGGCCTTCTCATCTAACACATTCTCACTGAACTCTTTATGTTACATAAACCAAGCAAAGAATTTCATCACTCAAAGTAACAGTTGTAATGGATTCTTCAAACAACTGCTTAAATCAGAGTAAAGAAGGGGAGGGGGGCTAACTATACTCTAAGGTAGTGGCTTCTCTAGCACCTACAACCTCACTCCCTTGTGTCTCAAGCTTGTGATACAAAGAAATATTAGATTTTTAACTGTTATCTGAAGAATCTATTATAATGGTCTTACTCAATGATGAGGCCTATTTACATATTGCAGTATGGGGTTTCTATTGTGCCGTGGAATTGTTAGCAAATTTGTTAACTTTACTAATAAACCTTTGGAAACTTACAATTTTTGCCCATGCCTCATTTTCATTTTCTCCATCCAACAGTGATTTTCAGAATTATCTCAGTATCTTCCCCCTTGTGAGAGAGGCTACAATTATAATTGTAAAAATATTTTCATTATCTTATACTTATTCAGGAGGGGACCAGTTCGCTATAAGTTCCAGGTCCTGTACGAGTTGGATAGTTTTGCTGTGGTCAATGTCCGTGACATGGGATCAGTCAGAAATGCCTTCAAAATACTCATGTTTCCTGACAGCAAGCTTTACCAGTGTGACACGCCCAAGGCAAAGGTGGGTGTATTCCCCTGTCCACTTAATGTAGTAAATAAAAAGGCTTATTTTGCATAGGGAAAGAAGTTTAGTTATTTTCCCTTTGTCATAGCTGAGAACAGATGAGAAAATGTTTTGGCCCATTTCTAAAAACCTTGTTTTTATAGCTCTTGATTTCTAATTTTTACTGCTACCAGTGAAATTCACCAGTGTCTATCTCCATTATGAGAGTGTGTGTGTGTGTGTGTGTGTGTGTGTGTGTGTGTGTGTGTGTGTGTGTGTGTGTGTGTGTGTGTGTGAGAGTGAGAGAGAGAGAGAGAGAGAGAGAGAGAGAAGGGAAAGGGAGGGAGTGGAAAAAGAGGTAGGAAGGGATGCAGGTAGAGATGGACAGATAGAGAGGAAAGAAGGAAGGGGCAATACACCATAGTCATATGTCACACATTATGGACTATATGGTTGTAATGTATAATGGTCACTGTACTGGTTATTATAGAGATCATGGCTGGATGTCATAGAAGAGACCAAGAAAAAGAAGATGGTGTCAGACACGCTGAAAAAGGAGGTGGCACAGGTGGCAGAGCGAACCAGCACGTTATCAGTGGATTCAGGGAATCGTAAGTAAAAAAAAAAAAAAAAATTAAAAAGTAATAAAAATAAGGCTATGACTGCACACATCTATATAAAGATGAGAAAGATAATCCTTTCATTATGTCCAAACTTCTCACCAAAAATTGTTTACTCTTTGTAACCTGTGATCCCAGATAGTAAAGCAGATTATTCAAGGACAGCGAGTCAACACTTTCATAGATAGTATCTGATTGTATGCTTTACTCTTCTTAATATCAGCTTTGAAACCTTTGAAAAACTGCCTTAAAAAAACTGATGCCGGGGATGTACAAACAACAACAGGTGCCTGTACGGATGACCCCATGAAGGTCATGAGATACTCCATAATTTGTGCAACGGTCACATCCACACAACTTTATTATTATGCATTTCTGAATTGGTTTTAAGTTAGAAAGGATTTCATGTGTTCACAGTTTTTATCCCCACAGAAAATATTTTCTGCATTTTTAAAAGTTAAGGTTTATATCATCAATATTTATGCACAAGTATGGTGTAGAAATATGCCAGTGATGGTCTTCTTCCTCTCTTATGCTCAGCGCTAACATAGTGCTTTGAGTGAACAGGACTAAAGTGTCAGATATAAAAGAAGCGCACCTTGGGAGAACTGAATTAAATTGGGCTCTTACACTCTGTCATCAAGGCTATCCCAGTGGGCTGTGTATAGTTCTTTCAAGATGGTTTGTTATTTGATGATGTCATTCCTGCTGTTTGTAGCATTTTCCTGCAGTTCTGTATTAGCCCAGAGGCCTAACATTCAACAGCCACCCCCATCTTGCAGTTGTCAAAAGAGTTTCTCAAGCAATGGCACGAAAGTGAGCTACACGTTTGAATTCCCTGCAAGCGCTGGAGTCACTGGGGATGCACACACTGCTGTCTTGGTGTCCGAGCTTCAGCAGAAAGTTCGGGATCAGAGTAGCCTGCTGGAATCCCAGAGCGTGCTGATTATGCAACAGAAACAGACGTTCAGCCAGCGGTTGAACCAGCAAAAAGCACAGATTGAAAACCTTGTTGCAAAGGTTCAGCAAACGGAGACGAAAATGCAGCAGTTGGAGTCAGCTAATCCCCAAGTGCCTGATGACTGTGGAGATTTAGTGGTGTCAGGAAACACACCCATTTCTGACTCCCAGATTACAGTTTCCTCTGTATCTGGTAACAGTCCAGAGTATGCCAGCACTCGTTCTAGAATATACTCTGTGAAAACTGATACGCTCTATGGTGGGTGGTGTGCCAATAGCAATGACTTGACTCAGTGGCTGCAGTATGATTTTGGGAGATTTAGACGAGTGACTGCCATACTGACAAAGGGTGTAGACACGAGACCCTTCTTTGTGTTGAAGTTCCAGCTCTATTATGGAAACAGTACGCTGTTCATGAAACCATACAGAAATTCAAAAGGGGAAATTAAGGTTTGTATCGTGTGTGTGTGTGTGTGTGTGTGTGTGTGTGTGTGTGTATAAGATATTGTTTAATATTACCCGAAAAATGGTATTTGAAGGGATTTTTTTTGCTAGCTTTCTATGCTGTAGATACGTGGGGCTGAAAAGTAGGTCACATAAGTAGGTAAAATTTCTGACCAAAAATATGAAGAAAGGAACAGTCGTAAGCTCTTTTATGGCTGATGGAGTGATTTATTTAGTTAATCCTTTGGCATGTCCCCTTTTTTACAGTTGTATAAGAAACTAGTAGAAGTGGTTTATGTGTGTTACTGGGAATCCACATTCCACAGATGGGTGGTTCATATATATCTTTAATAAGATGTTCTTATTCATATTTTCCAGACCTTCCAAGGAAATGTTGACTTGGACACAGTCAAAGAGAATGTTCTGGCACCTCCAATATATACTCGGTATCTGCGAATCAACCCAACATCCTGGCAAGGTCATGTTTGTATGAGGGCTGACGTTCTTGGCTGTTAGAGCTGGATGGCTGCATGATTTGACAGGCTGCTACCTTCTCCAGTTGTTTAATGCCATTATTATGTTTAAAACTTTTCCATGGAATGAAATTTTTCAAAGCACAGTTATAGAACAGATGATCATTTGGTAAATTAAAAAAAGAAATTGTTGAAATAATTTGACAGCATTGAAAATAATGTGAAATTGTTGAACTGAAAAGTGTTGCTTGAGCTTTTTGTGAGATCTGTAACACGAAAGTTTGAATTGGCAATTGACAGGTGAATTTCAGGTAAATGGAATGATAAATTTGATTATCAAGTGAGATATTGATATTCTGATGTGGACATTTGCTTAAGGGGTCAAGTGAGGGAAATTACAGATAAGTTTATCTTTGTCGGTAGATATCAGATATGAATAGAAGCTGCATAGAGTTCATTTTCCTGCGTCTCTGACAGTAGCAGCAATTGGGCTCTCTTTAAGACTTTTGTGTAAGATGTATTTGAGATATATATGAGATGATGGTCAATAATTTTATAGCTTGGAATGGTTGGTTTGTCCAATGTTTGTTAATGAATTTTGGTCATAAAATGATCTTTAATAAAAATTAACATTCAATCATATTGTTCAGTTGTTGTTTCATTTTTTTGTTGTTTTAATCCTTTCCCCTTTTATTTGATTTTCATTCTTTCTTTCCCTTAGCCTCCATCCGTTATTTCTTCTTTCTTTCTAGTATGTACAAGTTAGAAGTAATTTGTTCAAATGTTATTGTCAGATTTACACTAGTTTTTCTACACAGTCACTCCTTGAAATATTTTTACATGTACTTCATAAAATGTATTTTAATTAGAGGTGAATACTAACTTGCACTGACATAACAACAGTTTTTAGTGGGGTAATTTACAGTCAATAAAGACATTCGGATTAAGATAAAATGATTATCTTATCCAGGTGCATCTCTAAAATGGATCTGGCATTCAGGCCCAGGCAATACAGTCAGGCCCAACCAGGCAACCATGCATAACTTACATAGGAGAGCACAACTAACACAATCATCTGCTAGCAGCAATCCCCATTAGCACTAACAGGCACATCCAACACAATCAGGCACAGCAGACACAATCTGGCACAACCAACACAAGCAGACAACAAGCACAACTAACACAATCTGTTATATACCTCACCACAAAACTCTAGCTTTCTTTAAACATATAGTCCGGTGTCTTAAGGAAAAAATCGTGACACGGCGGATAAAAGCACCAAATTTGGCATGTAGTTACCTTTTGACATTATAAATCAAAATAGAGCTGTAGCCCTCTCAAACAGTTTACCGTTGGGTCAAAAAATCCAAAATGGCCGCCAATTTATGGAATTCTATAGAAATATGTACATACCTATGTTGATTTTTATCAAATAAATTATTTCCTCAGAGTTTTCCACACCCTTATTACCCATTTTATTCATATATGTCAGATAGCAAACAAGTTCCCTTGGACTTTTTGAAAAAATCCAAGATGGCTGTCATATGCCATACAAACAGCCATAGGAATACTAGCGCACAACTCATACCAGCTAGAAAGATACGTTGTCCACTATCAAATTAAGTCTGTTTCTCAGATTTTTGTTACCCACATATCAATGTTTGTGGTGAGTAACTACGAAGTGTTCTTGGGCATTTTGGAAAATCCAAGATGGCTGCCATGTGCCACAAAAATTCTAGTATACGGGGGATTCAACTAATGGCAACTGAAAAGAATAATTTTCCACTATCAAATTAAGTTTGTTTCTGAGTGTTTTTCACATCCTTTCCACCCACACAATATGTATGTGGCGAGTAACTAACATGTATTCTTGGGCATTTTGAGAAAATCCAAGATGGCCACCATATGTCATAGGAATACTTATAGTATTACAAAGGGTTGGAACTAATGCCAGTTAGGAAAAACATAATTCATTATCAAGTTCAGTTTATTTTTTCAGTGTTTTACACATTATTATTACACTGTGATACATATCTAGCAGGTAATAAATGTGCATATTTGATCATTCTGAGAAAATCCAAGATGGCTGTCATTGGCCATAGGAATACTACTGGAATTACAACTGCACATCCATGGCTTTTCATCTAATACCAGGGTGAAATTGTGTTTGCTTATCAAGTTTTGCCCATCCTTATTAGTCCTATGATATATATATCTGGAGGGTAAATAGTGTGCATCCTTGGATATTTTGAGAAAATCCAAGATAGCTTCAATTTGACATAGGAATACTAATGGGTGGGTTTCAATTGCTGCTAGAGAGGCATATGGTTCACTATACAATTACATTCCCATGGGTTTGTTTTAAAAATAATATTTTTTTATTCCATTTATTATTACCCCTATGATGTATACCTGGTCTGTAGCATGTGTGTATCTTTGGGTATTCTGAAAAAAAAAATAAAGATGTCTGCCTTTTGTCATTAGAATATTTGTACACATAATCAAATAATGCCAGAGACACACTGAGTACAATTTAAATGTAGTTAACTTTAGATCTTTTTTGAATGTTTTTTCATATCCTATTTATCCTTATGAAAGACTCTGTGTGTGTAGAAAGTGTATGTATCCTAGAGTACTATTCGGAGAAAACCCAAGATAGCTGCCAGTTGTCATAGGAATATATCATTCAAATGCACATAGGTGTCAATTAATGGAACAGTTCAGACATTGATTCCAACATGAAATAAAGCAATTTAAACATGTTGACATCCTTATTAACCTTACTCTATATAAATCTGGTGTGCGTTTTTGAGAAAATTCAAGATTACTGCAATTCACAATAGGATTAGTAGGCCTACAGTCAACTACTTTGGGTTCAATATAAAATGAATTTTGTTTCTCGGTATTTCCCACATTCTTTTTGGACTTTGAGATATCTATCTGGTGGGTAACAAGTGTGTACCCTTAAGTATTTTGACAAAATATCATGATTACCCTCATTTGCCTTAGAAGTGCCTGTAAAATCCAATGCACCAGTTTTCCTTCGGGGAAAAGAAGGCCTTCTTGGATTTCCCCAAAATGATCAAATATGGACATTAATTACCTAACAAATACGTATCATGGGTTAATAATAATAATAATAATAATAATAATAATAATAATAATAATAATAATAAACAGAATAACAACTGAATTCAGCTTCATTTTATATGGAAGCCTATCTCTCGCAGGTATTAACTGAACCCCACCTTCTATGGCTAGTGGCAGCCATTTTGTTTTCAAAAAGGATACACATAACATTCTGATCACATATATTATGTGGATTAAAAAGACGGGGAAAATACTCAGAAACAAACCTAATTTATCAATTGATATTATATCTCCATGGCAGAAGAAGCCCTATGTGTACTAGTATACTAGTATTCCTTTGATATGGCGGCCATCTTGGATTTTTCTCGAAATGCCTGAGAATAAACGTTAGTTACTTACCACAAATATATTATTTGTGTAATAAGGCACTCAGAAACAAAATTAATTAGATAGTGGGCAATGTATCTTCCTATAGTTGGCATTAGTTGAAAACCCTTGTACATGTTCTAGTATTCCTATGCCATACGGCGGCCATCTTGGATTTTTCAAAAAGACCAAGGACACTCGTTTGTTATCTGACATATATGCATAATATGGGTAATAAGGATGTGGAAAACATTGAGAAAATACTTTATTTGATAAAAATCAACATAGGTATGTATATATTTCTACAGAATTTCACAAATTGGCGGCCATTTTGGATTTTTTGGCCAAACGGTAACTTTTTTCCGTGGGCTACGGCTCTAATTTGATTTAGTATGTCAAAAGGTACCCACATGCAAAATTTGGTGCTTTTATCCGCCGTGTCACGATTTGGCCATTTTTTTACCCTAAGCCACCGGACTAATACACTTTCAGCATTTAATGAAGATGATGATGAGCCAGATGAGTCGCTAACCATTCCATCTGAGGTGGACCTGTTATTAAAAGAAGAATGGGTCCAAGACCTACCCGAGGACCTGGATGTGTGCATAGCACAGAGAGACTTTGAAGGAGCTGTGGAGTTGATTGATAGAGGTATATGAGTGTCTGTGTTTGTATGCATGCTTTAATAGTTAAGGGTGCTTTTTTGTGCACGCATACATGTGTGGTTGTAGGTGTTTCTAAATGTTGTTTTTAGGAATTTCTGTGTGTTTGTGTGTGATTGTGTATGTTTGTGAATGCATGGTAATGCTTGGTTGTTTTCTTTTTTTTATTGTGTGAAGGTATGGATGGATGTGGCTGAATGTATATTTGTCTGTCTGTGCTCCATATGCATAGACATCGCTTAATAGATAGTGGCAGTGAACTGATAGGACTGACTCATAGCTTATTTATATTATTGAGTTAATAGAAGTTGATGTTTTGCCAGTGCATACCCAATTGAGATACATAGTTTATATTCAGTCAGAGGCATTTGCAGGTATACTCACCTGTATGGTTAATATTATAACTTTTCATGTGAAATTCATGATGTGCACAATGTTATATGAAATTGAGTAGCATTCCTTAGTATTACAGTTTGGTTAATGATAAAGATAATGGCTTTGTAAATAGCGTTTTACTCGCTCTTTGTTTTCAGTCAATGAACATTTACAGAAGATTCCAAATTCAGCCTCTGTCAAAGAGTACAGGTGAGACAATATTAAAAAGCAGAAACTAAACATTTGATTGAGTACGTAGTAATTTTTTGGCATTTGCTCAAAATATTGCAACTCAACTTAATCACTCATAGACACTCATTTAATCATGCGGCCCAGGATTATCCCTGCTTAATCTGTATGTTTTTTAAATGCCACAGGTATTAGTACTTCCCATTACATTTACATAATAAATTTACTACTATTACAGTATATTTTGATGATGAAAATTTAAATATTTCAGCTTTTCATTTAAAACAGTTTTGTTGTTTTTTTGATGCACTTTTGCTACGAAAAAGAAATGCCTTTTTCTAATAGTTTTTCACCTTGGTTTTGTCTTAGAGTACGTATTGACCACAGAGTAAAACAACTCACAGAGGTGCTGATGCACGAGCTGCAGGTGTCTCCAGAGAGATCTTTGAGAGGAGGACCACGTGCTGCACGCCGCGCGGTCACGCACCTCGTCAAGCTGGGTAAATCAGCACAGGTAAAGTAGCTGTCACCATGATAGCGCTCCCTGTGTCAGACCAGGTGTCATCTTAAAGAGGCGCCTGTGCCATATATTCTTACATTGGACACCTTGTCAGACTCTTATCCTTCTTGACTATGCTATTGAGTTTAAATTGTAATGAATTTGAGGGTCCGTAAAAGTCATACATTTTCAAAATGTGTTGTTTTCCATTAACAATATACAGAAAAGAGCCAAAATGCTTTTTTCCCCTTATTGGTTTGAAGTGTTGTTTTTTTTCTGTTGTTTAGATTTTTTTCTGTATTCTTTTGAAATATTTCAAAGAATGATACCATTACTCTTGGCTTACTTGGGTATCTCTTGATCTTTCCTGTAATAGCATGCTTGGCAATTGTTTCATTTTTAAACAGTTCAAATTTTACAATTAAAACTTACATTAAAAAAAAATCTTTCAAATTGTGTTTTGTTTCTAAAAATAAAACATTTCTGTTGTGGTACCCGTCAAGTGTAAGAACATCAGTGTTAAATCATTTCTCTTTTTTATCATAAGGCTTGTGATTTATTCCTCAAAAACAGAAGTGCCATCATTAAATTCAACCTGAAGCAGCTGAAGTTTGAAGGGGCCACTACCATCTACATACGTACATTGTGCAATGTGTTCTTTAACACCCTGAAAGAAACTGGGAAGGAATTCATGAAGGCATTTCCAGAGCATTATGCTTGCTTCTCAGGTACATTTATTTCCATGATATCAGAATTGGTTTATGTACTTGGGTTTTGTCAAAACTTATAAGGAATTAATCAAAGCATTTTGAGAGCTTAATGCATGCTTTTTGGGTAGAAATTATAAGATGAAAAATTCTCAGCAATATTATCTTTATCTTTCAATTTTCTATATCAATATTTTGTGTCACATTTACATTTAAGATGTTAAAATATTAATTTTATATATTGCCATTTATTCTCATTCCATCAATTTCTTGGCCACCTTTGTTATAAAGTTCCAAATTTTTGATGCAGTAAAGAGCCTTCATGTTGGTAGTTATGAGTTGAATGTAATTTCTTTTGTCTCTCTCAGCCTTTGTAGTCTGGGTCAGTGAAGAGTTGCAGTCATTTGTGAGTTTATTTGGACGCCAGGTATTTGCCAGTCAAATGAGTCTCACCACCATAGCTGACTGTGTGAAGTTAGTCAGGGAACACTGCAATCAGGTACTTATACTATACTGTTCCACTGGTGTGTGTTATATATTTATATATGTGTGTATTTGCCAGTCAAATGAGTCTCACCACTATAGCAGACTGTGTGAAGTTAGTCAGGGAACACTGCAATCAGGTACTTATACTATACTGTTCCACCAGTGTGTTATATATTTATATATGTGTGTATATGCCGGATTCCCTGATAGTCTCCCTGCCTCCACACACGCCATTAAACAGATTAAATCTCGGCCCCGAGGTTTAATTGCTAGGCCCCTGCAGTGACGGCACGTATGGAGGCAGGGAGACCATTGGGGAATTGGCAACTTTGGTTTTTAAGTGCGGTTGGCCATATTTAGTCAGTGTCTTCTCAGTTAGTCCACGGATCGTCTGTTCTGAATGTGCTCTGTTTTTTATGTTCAAGCTGAGTGATATAGGACTAGAGTTGACCTTTAATCTCAACACCATGCTGCTACCAGATGTGGAGAAGACAGTGGCAGACAACAGAGACCAGCTGATAGAGGCTACCAAGCTCAGAGCTGCTGTATGTGCCTTTTTACTGTATATCATCTTTTAATTCAAACAAGATGGAGTTGGTAGATTGATTTTGTTATTGAAACCTTTGACAGTTGTTGTGATCACACAGAGAGAGAGAGAGAGAGAGAGAGAGAGAGAGAGAGAGCGAGCCTTCATAATCTCTATTAATCTTGATCTCTTTTAAGTCTCTTTTAAGACATGAAATATTTCAGTTTCGTAGAACATTTATTGCCAACAAACATTGAACTTCACAATATGTACACTTTTATAAGTAAAAACATGATCCTATCTTTCAGGACGACCTGTGGCGCCCCATCAACCTCCATGATGAAGATGCTGTTGATAAGTTTGTCAGCGAGTTAGAAGATCTGGGTATAGCACACATGGACAAGTACATCTACAGTAGGTTCAGGAGAGAATTCAAGATAAGAAATGTCCCCCCCCCCCCCACACACACACAATAAATATTATAAAATTAAGCTATATATAAGTAAGTAGATGTATGCTTTTTTAATTGAAAGAGATATTTAGTTATTTCCCTTGTGAAAGGAATCAAAATAGATAATTTATTGATTTCTTGATTATGTGCTTTATCTCTTACTTGACAAAAAATTAAAACTTTACACTCATTATATTTTACTGAGTACTGATGTATTAAATAAATGATTACTTGTTTGAGTTGCAGCACCTGCTATTAAAAACTAATAAGGGTACAAAAATTTTTTTCTTTGTAGATGGCTGTCTCATAGCACTCACCACCAACACAGTGCAGTTCACTAGATCATACCTCTCATTTCTTGATGATCTCCTGAAACTGTACATCCCAGAGCTTCACCACCTGGTGGTCACCTCGCTGGTGGCCATCTTTAAAAGCCAGTGCAAGCACATGGAGACTTCGCTGAACTCGCATAAATTCCTGCGTGAGGTAAGGGGGTGTGGTTGGTGACAGCATTTTTTGTCATAAACCCCATTCCTATATGTATATTGATCTAGCATGATCGATCTATCTCCGAGGGGATTTTTGCTAAATTGCATTCAGCTTAAGTGGCTTAGATGTCTGACATGCCTACTGAGGCTGCTAAATGATAGTTAATTACCCCCTAGTAGCTTCACTATGCCTGTCAGACAGCAGAGCTGCTTAAGCTGAATGTAATTTAGCGAGAAACACTTCGGGGATGGACTGATCATGCTAGATCGATCTAGGTATGGTGTCTTAAGACAGGTTTTAAGAACAAAGCTGAGCATTTTGCTAAGAGTGTGTAGCAGGAACAGGGGAACTATGTTTCTTCTACAAATGGCCTTGTAGGCTTTTGTTTTGAAAATTGTTACATTAAGATGCACTCTAAAGCCCCATTCTCATTGACAACATGGGTTTATGTGGATCAACCCAACTCTGCAGAGACTCTCGTTGATTGCATTCAGCTTAACTGAATAGCAAACTTCCTTGGCATTAAGTAGAATACAGAAAAAAATGGTGATTATATATGTCAGGTATGTTGGAAATAACAGGAGGCATGTTAGAATGTTAAGCTGATTGCACTAAGCTTGAGTCCCTCCAGAGTTGGGTTGAACCATGTAAACAGATAGAGTGTCTAGCGGATTGGGGGTCTTAGTCAGCCATTAATATTAATAATAAGCAGTGACGATTAGTTTTATCATTTAAACCTGCTTCTGTTTTTGAATTGTTCCATTTTGACCACAGGAAATTTAGCTGCAAAGTTTAGTGTTTGACTTGAAATAAATAAAATGGTCCTTTGGGGAGGGTATTTCTGAGTTAGATTTGATGTAAGTTTCAATTTTGTTTAAAATGTCATGCCATTTCAGTTGTTTGAATGGACCTTCTGCATCCAATATAAGACATTTTACTTTATTTTCTGTTATATTTTCTACTAACTTATTTGTGTACTGATTCTATACTAACTTATGTGTGCATGATTCTATACTAACTTATGTGTGTCCAAGTCTCTTTTTATTGTAATGTACTCCCATTTTCTTGAATATACTGCTTGTCAGATGAGCCTGAGTGATACGTTGTATGTTAGTTAGTGCTTATATTTCCTTTTGGGCTTTCCATTTGTGAAAATAAGAACATCATGTAGATATCTTTGAAAAGATTATTAACAATCTTCTACTGCAGATTCTTTGCATCTAGGTACAGTAAAAGGGTTTTTCTATTTTATTATTTTATGGTTAAGACTTTGAGACATAAAGTTGGGTGAAATATAGAAAACTTAATGTATGATTGTTATAATTTTTTCTCTAGATTTAAGTTTCAAAAGAAAGTTAGGTCAAAGACAATGCACCTTTTTGTCACCTAAAGCTTCTTTCACTCACCTAACATTCCATCTGTCTACACTGACTAACCCTCTCTCTCCCATGTTCCAGCATGATTCTCTGTTTCTGAGCACATTGGGTTTTCTCAATGAGGCCCTTGTGCCACTGGTGGAGGAAAGGGTTAAAGGTCACACTCAGCAGGATTGCACAGAGTTTGACGCTGTGCATCAGGAGCTGAATAATATTGAAAGAAAGTTAGTTTTTATTTTACAGCTTCTTTCTTGGGTGATCAATTCTTATTTGTAGCTGTGAAACAAAGACTTCTAATTATTTAACAGTTTCTTTCTTGGGTGATTCATTCTGATTAGTTGCTGTGAAATAAATTTAATTATTACATTTTATTTAATGGCTTCTTATAGGCTGGCATTTGGATCTCCTTGATGATAAAAAGTTGATTTTCGTTTTATAGCTTCTTCATTTGGTGATGGGACCTGCTTTAGACAAGTTATTTTTTTATACTGCTGCCTCAGATTGGTTTTATTTGATTTACCAAATTTTTGCAACACACTAACGGACACAGTGTTGTTGATTACAGTGTACATCCATTCTATGATTGTAATTTTATATTGTAATATTTACAGATTATAAAAGGTTTCCAGTGAATGATTTAGTGTAACTTACTATATTTTAATACTCTCCTTAGTTTTAACATCATCTTGATTAAGGTTAAGATATGGCTGCATGAAAGTAAACTAAGTAAACTGATTAATAAGCAGTTTTGTGGTACATGTATTAGGCAGTCTTTTACAGAGAATAACCAAGATGTGAAAACTGAATTATTATTATTATAAATCTTCAGCCAATTTGTTGAGAGGTTTTAGCCAATTGGATTGTAATTGCTTCATCATATTGTCTGTAGCAGCAGTTTTGAAAAGCTAGCAAAACCCTTTAATTTAAATAATTAAATTTAGTTTAAACTAATGAGCATTTTTTGCCTCACCCTGCTACTCCTTGTTTATATTTGCTATATCAAATTGAAAAATTATAATTTTTTATACCGTCAGTGATATTAATTGATGACTGTTCCCCAAGCACCAGAATTTATTGATTTTATTTATAATTTCTGATGAAGGAATAATATAGTATCATAATTTTGGAATTTCAGCGAAAAGTTTCACAATTTATATTTTATTCTGATTCTTAATTGTATCATAAACTGCACTGTGTGATTGAATGTTTATTCCTTAAATGTGTTTTCTTGTTGCACAGCTGCTTGCTTCTCTAGGTGTTTTCCAAGCAATTTTTTAATTTCTTAACTATCTACTTTTAAGTAAAACTATCGTGCTTGGTGTAATATATTGTGTCGTTTCTTTGTCCAATTTTACAAAGATCATATGCAGTTCGTTACTTCATGTTTTAACAAGCCTGTCTCACAGTGAAATATATATGTCATTGAAACATCTAACACCATGTCATTATCATATCAGAATTAATGTCAGTGTTTGCAATTACACCTAACACCAAATTACACCAAACTAACTGTTTTTGTGCCTATTTAAGTTCAAGGCCTTTTCAACGTTTAACGCATAATGAATGGAGTTATATGTAAAAATGTGCTATGTGTTATGCTGTCATGCCTGTAACAATACTGTGTTCAATATTCCAGCATGATTTCATCGTAAAGAATGCCAAGTTTCTGGCCAAGTCGGTACTTCCTGTTGCGGAGAAAATGTTCAAGGAAAAACTGGGGCATACACCAAAGGATATTATCAACCTGAATAAGGAATATAAAAAACTGAAGAGAATTTGGGAGACAAGTGGCGCTTTGGTCTGAATAAAATTACAGGAACTACTGCCCTTCAATCAAGAAAAAAATTGTTCAGGATTTATCTGGAAATACGGTTCTGTGGATGTTGTTTTTTTTTTTTAGCCCATGTCCACCACAGTGACAATAGAACTACATTTTCTTGATTTTTTAAAGGTTCAGTTTACTCTCTGTTTTTGATGATGCTTTTTATCTGGATTATGGACATGGGTAGATCAATTGACACGGTGTAACATGAAAATCCGGCTCCTGAAAGAGAGACTTTGCGTAATAAATATTTAAGTTCACGATTTATCACAAAGAACAGAGAAAAACATGAATTTTCAGAAGAGGAGGAATTGGCAGTTTTGTTTGCCAAGCGTTTTGAAAGGTGCTGACTAAATAATGAAATACTGACTTGAAAGGGAGACTTATTCATCTATTTCCGCCAGTCAGTTATTTACTTCATAAAACTTGATTTCTAAGATTACTTTTATTACTCACTATTTGTGACCTATGTGTAATATTTGTATAAATACATTCTGTTGTTTACCTATTTACATACGTAGTTGTCTTGTTTGTCAGGCAATTCTTTAAATTTTATTTTTGTTTATTCGTGCTGATTTTTTGTCAGTGCAGTGAACTGTGGTTGATAGTGAATTAAAATTTATCACCAAAAAGTTTGAATACCCTAACTGGTAGGCAGAACAGTAAATTCTTTTTCTTTTCTGTCCATTTTTTTTATATATATAATTTAAAACAAATGAATAATCCAACTTGTTCAAGAAATACATGTAGTACAAGTGCATTTGATTGAAAGATATTGGCACAAAACAAATATTGACTCAGAGCAGATCTTTTTCCTTCCAAAGAAGCCATTTTGTTTGAATTTCCCATCCACCCTGCCTGTAATACATAAACATTTATAACTGAAACTGACATGTTTTCATAAGAAGATATTATTACTGTGCTATTATTGTTATCAATCCCCTTCTACATGGATAAAATAATGTGAAATTATAAGTTTATGTCAAAACCAATACTGAATACTGAGCCTAAAAGTATAATCTATAGTCAAAATTTAAAATTTCTCTTCTTTCCATCATTATTCAAACTGATGTAATTTAATCAGTTTCTTCTGTTGTTTCGGAGTTTATCCCAAGCAGAGTTATCAAATCCCTCTCCTCTGTAATTTCTTCTATGTGCAAAGGGGTCTTCTTTTTCAAAAACATGACTCTTTTCTGTGCATGCTCTGCAAACTCGAACATGTTCAGTTCTTTAGCGAGGTTCACAGCTGCTTCTGCATGTTCTACAGCTCTCACCATGTTTCCTTGTCTGAACTGGTAGTCACATTTCCCAAGGAGTAAGTTAACCTGGAGAATTTTGGGGATTGGAATAGAAGAGTCCTCTAACTGACGAATATAACCACCGGCTGTTTTAATGTCATCCTCGGAAGGGTGGAGAGTGTTCATTGTCAAACCGTTGTCCCCGCATTTGAGGAGCAGGATGCAGAGCCTGCATATTGCATAGCCGCTTCCAAATGGCCCATCCTTGCCCCCGTCCCGCTGGAAGTTTTCCAGGGCACGCTGAAAGCTTTCCTTGGCCATGGCGTGGAGTTGGTTGTAGTTGGACAAGTAGCTTGGGTTGTAAGGATTAAGCATGGTCATTTGTGAGGTCTTATTTCTGCCATCATTCATGTACAGCCACCCTGCAGCTCGGCCAGTGCATCCTGCTGGATCTGTCTGGATGATTTGTTTGACATCATCCAGGGAATTTTCAAGCTTCTCGAGTCTCTTCTGTTTAACATACATTCGTGTCTTGGCAGTGAAGAGCTCCACCATGAAGTACTTTGGGTCTGAAGTCTTAGGAAGGGTCTCAAATGCATGGTCAATGTGACGTTTTGCTGCATCAATATCGTTTTTAAACAGATCCTTACTTGCATGGAGATATGATAATAGGCAAGTCATATCGGGCTGGTAGACAAACTGACTTTGGAGGTTTGCAGAAACTGATTCGAATTCCTCATAACAGCCCTGGTTGATGAGAGTGCTGAGGTAATTGAAGGCCACTGACAAGCGTTTGCAAGCTGCAGATTCAGTGAATGTTGAGCTTGGCTTTGTCATAAATAGTGTATTGGGTGAACGCTGAATGACTACCATGTCACTATGTTGTTTGAGTTGGCATGTTCTTCGCCTTCGCTTATGTCGTCTTCTTGTTTTAGCCTGAAGATAATTGTCAGAATCCGTATCAGAACTTACTTTTGGAGTGGCAACTTGTTTCTGGCACTTAGGTGCCTTCTTTGAATGCAGAGACTCTTGTTTCTGACAGGATTTGCTGGCCAATTTATCAACAAACGCTTTGGCACCGTCAACAGTAATGTGTGAATTATCGTCGTGGAGTACGTTTTCTTGTTGCTTCTGACATAGCTCTTGTTGTCTTGATGGTGATAAAGCATCACAAACTTCTGACAGGCATCCCTGGATGTTGTCATGAATGCGAGCAAGGATAAAATTGTACTTTTTCTCCAGAGATATTTTTAATGTTGAAAGAACTTCCTTGGGTGCTGGGAATTTCGCAAGCTCCTTGAACAGAATCCTACACCTGTCCTTTCGTGTCACTCCCACTCGCACATGCTCACATTGGTCATCACTCAAAACGCCTTCTTGAAAATGATGATCAATCAAATCTATCGGTTCAACGTTATCGAAAAAGAGACAGCAATGTTGGTGTAAAAGACTAGATAGTTGATCGTTACCTGATATACCAGTGAGAAGATTTTTACATTTTTTGCAAGGGTTGTAATCTGCATCGTTTTTCACGTTTTCTGTTGTGGATGCTGCTCGTTTCATGCAAGATTTATCACTTCTTGCATTGGTTAAGACATGTCTATGTTTTCTACATACTTGAAGCGTTTCATCATCTAAATGAGAGATATCTTTACTGCTTGATGAACATGCTTCTTCATATTCTTTTTGTCCAATTGAACAAATCTCTCCAATTTCTTTGCTTTCTTCTGCAGGGATCAGCAACTGCTGAATGTGCTTGTATTGAGTGACAGCAAGGGCGCTAGTGAAGGCACTGTACGCACTTTGTCCTCGACGACGAAGGAGAGACAGCAGCAACTGACAGCGCTCCTTTCTTGTCTTACCTGTGGACACAAGCTCGCAGTCATTATCTGTGAGGACGCCATCTTGATTTAAGTAGTCCAACACCTCTTTTGGCTCCAAATCATTAGTTATTGCAACATGGTGGCGGCGCAAATTTTCTTCCTGGTCAGGATCCATAATGTCTCTGAAATACAGCAACAAATCTTAAAAGAACGTACTAAGACAGATTTCACAGAAAAGATTTTTTACATTTTTTTTTACTTGATAGCTGTTTATACAGGTAGTGCACCTAAATATCAAATTTTTAGCATGAACTCAACAGATCTAAAGAAGAAAATGCAAAAACAGAAGAACTGAAATAAAAAATAAAAAGTGCAAACCAAGAAATGGTCCATGTGAAAACCTCAGGTAGAGTACTCAACTGACTAGAGACAAATGCTCATCCCCACATTATAGATATTAGTAACCTTACAGCCGAAAGCCCAGGTTACATTTGCCATGCAATATCCTGATTGAGCCTGTATACTGCACGAATATCCATTTTTGTCATCATTTGTTAGCAGCCATGCAAAATAACATCCATTTAGCATGAAACTATACTTCTTGGACATTAAAAAAAAAAAAAAAAATCCAGTCATACATGTAATGATGGCAATAGCAAACCCCCTAATTTTGCACTTACAGTAAGCTGAAAAAAAAAAGCAGCACCCAGAGATGAAAAATACTTATACATGTACTATATCAGCTGTACGTATACAGGTGTGCGATTGTGTAACGTCATAAACACAGGACCCTGCCTTACTGATGGAAGTCTCATGTGAGTGCCAAAATGGTTTGCTTGTGCATGAACAGGTCTGGCACCCTGAGCTTCAGAGATAGCTTGACACTAAACTCTTCACTATAGCCTATCTTCATCCTTACTTTATTGACACGATGAAGATAGGCTATAGTGAAGAGGTTAGTGTCAAGTTATCTCTGAAGTTCAGGGTGAGGTCTGGGGAACCTTGGATTATTTTATAAGCATATATATACAGGCTCGAATTTTTGGTCCAAATAAATACCCGTACAGGTACATGTTAATTCAAAACTTGAGATTACGATTCTCAAACTTACAGGAAAGACTCATAGGAATAAAACAGAGCTTGAATTGGAAAAATCAGCCCGACAAGATAATTTTTCTGGAAGTAATGCATGTAGATTTTGGGAAAAGTCAATTTTTCGCATAGTCTACAGTACTGGCATTCGTGCATCCTACCTAAGAGAAAAATTAACTAACCTTCGAAATCAGCTCTGGAAAAATGTATACTCAGTACTCAACGAACTCGAACTTCGGTCTTGGGAGTTCGACAAATACCTTGGCCAAACACGACAAACGAGGGAGAAAATAAAAAGTGTCCTCCTTGTTGTATAATAATGCAACAGCTCTCTCTCTCTCTCTCTCTCTCTCGTGCAAAACTGTCTATCAAACAACATTCAACAAACTGACAAACCAAAACAACCATCTTATTAATAAATTAACTTGGCATAAGTACGCTGGAAATACTTGCCAGTATAATTCCGAAAGCTTGCACTGTCTTCAACAGGTTCTTCCAACATTCGGTATGTAGGCCTACGGAAGTTGTTTTGAATATACTCCCCGTTTACAGTAGGAGTAAACGCCGCTCGCTTTCACTTCTAAAATTACTCATGACGTGGATTGCGTACAAAGACACAGTGAGTCATCAATTCCACCCAAGTCAGTATTTACCATCACTGCGTTAAGCTCAACTGCTGCAATGAAAGTCTTCGCCAGGGTAAATGTCTTCGGGGCCGTTTTAGATCTACGAAAAGTAACATTTAGTATCGCATCGATAGAATATTTTAACGCCTAAGTACATAAAGATGGGTCTGGAATGCAAGTCCTTTGTGAGTTTCAAAAGTGACTGGTCCTATTGTTGCCACACACCCATACTCAATATAGAGGTGCAAATCAATTCACAGGCATTTTCTTAAAATACAAGTAATTTAGCAGGGGTGGACTCAGGATTATTTGAAGGGGGGGGGGGGGGGGGGGGGGGGGGGGGGAGTCCGCGGATGAAGGACCCCGTCCCCTTCAGAAGAGAACGGGATACGACATACAAACTACAGCTGACGACGTTAACCAAGTGCTACGTCACTACGTCTTGCCACCCAAATTTATTGTGTTATTGATCCGAGAGATGGATATATTTTTTCGTATTTATCTGAAAATAAGGTTATTTTTGATGTTGTATTTATGCCCCGGACCACACTATAGAGCTGCATTTCTGGATTTTTTAATGGTCCAATTTATTCTCTGCTTGATGGCGCTACTTCATCTGGATTTAATATGGACATGGGTAAAAGAGTTGAATCGGTTATTGAATGAGAAACAGCTTGGTTCTTTAATCTAAATTTAAGTTCACGATTTATCACCTCTCAAGGAAAGAGAAAGGAATAGATGGAATAACTGAGTTTTGTCTGCCAAACGTTTTGAAAAGTGCTAGCTGAATTATGTAAGCCTAGCCTGACATTATTGAAGTTACACTTATTTATATATTTACATTTCCTGCAGCAATTCTAGTTATGAAATGACTTCATTCAACATAATTTTATTTCTAAAAATACCATTATTACTTACTGTTTCCGAGTGATGTGTAATATTTGTATAGGCCCTATACATGTATACATTCGTTTGTTTACATATCCCTACATAGTTCTTGTCCGACAGTTTGCTAATATTTGCGCTGGTATTTGTCAGTGAAGTGAACTTTAGCCAATAGAAGATTAAAATTTATCATAAAAAAGGTAGGATACCACAAAGCTAGATGACAGAGCATTGATTCCTTTTTTCTTTTCTGTCTAATTGAAAATAATTCAAGCTTAGTGTAGGTTAGTTACTTATTGAAATATCAAAGGCATATCACTGGTAGGCCCACTATTGACTTATCCTTTATCTTTATCATAAAGTAGGCCTACACGGATAAAGAAAACGTGTTTACAGAATGTCGCGCTAATATCTTTTTCAGTTCATAAATTGATGTAATAACACTTCGTTGATAAATAGTCATTGTTATCGTTCCTCTTTACAATTTTTGTTGAAAACACAAGACCGTAGCTTATATTTTTAAACATTTATTGATAATATGTTAAAATTTATAATGAGGCCAACTCGTATTCCGAAGAAAAATATTAATCAGTCACTGCTGTTGGCATTCCATTTACCCTCTACTTCGCGTATGTAGGCCTATACATTATTCTGTCCCACTGCTGAATTCCTATAGCCTTTTAAATTTTAACTTTTTAAGGTTATTTTTAGTGAGACTCTCGATGGTCTCTTTTAATTAGCAACAACGTAGCATTTAAGCCGATGTAATTCCATCAGTTTCTTCTGCTGTTTCCGAGTTTTTCTCAAACAGAACTGCCAGATCTTTCTCATCCGTCACTTCTTTTAACTGCAACGGGGTCTCCGTTTTCAAAAACACGACTCTATTCCGCGCATGCTCTGTAAACTCTAGCATGTTTAGTTGCGTGGCGAGGCTCAGAGCAGCCTCTGCGTGCTCTAGGGCTCTCACGATGTTTCCTCTTCTGAATTGATAGTCGCACTTCCCAAGAAGTAAGTGAACCTCGAGAATTTTGGGAATTGGAATAGAGGAGTCCTCTAATTGGCGAATATAACCACCTGCGGTTTTAACGTCGTCCTCGGAAGGGTGGAGAGTGTTCATTGTCAAACCGTTGTCCCCGCATTTGAGGAGCAGGATGCAGAGCCGGCATATCGCGTAGCCGCTTCCAAGCGGCCCATCCTTGCCCCCGTCCCGCTGGAAGTTTTCAAGGGCACGCTGAAAGCTTTCCTTGGCCATGGCGTGGAGCTGGCTGTAGTTGGTCAAGTAGTTTCGGTTGTAAGGGTTCAGCGTGGTCATTTGCGAGGTTTTGCTCCGACCGTCGTTCATGTATAGCCATCCGGCGGCTCGGCCGGTGCATCCGGTTGGATCAGTCTCGATGATTTGCTTGACGTCATCCAGGGCATTCTCGAGCTTTTCGAGTCTCTTCTGGGTGACGTACATGCGCGTCTTTGCGGTAAAGAGCTCCACCGTGAAGTACTTTGGGTCCGAGGTCTTAGGGACGGTCTCAAACGCGAGGTCAATGTGACGCTTTGCTGCATCAAAGTCGTTTTTAAACAGGTCCCTACTTGCGTGGAGATACGATAGCAGACAAGTCATGTCGGGCTCGTGGACATACTGGTTCTGGAGGTTGGCAGAAACTGACTCGAATTCCTCATAACAGCCCTGGTTGATGAGAGTGCTGAGGTAATTGAAGGCCACTGACAAGCGTTTGCAAGCGGCAGATTCAGTGAACGTCGAGCTTGGCTTTGTCGTAAATAGTGTTTTGGGTGAATGGTGAATGACAACCACGTCGCCATGTTGTTCATCACGTTGGCGTGTTTTTCGCCTTCGCTGCTGCCGTTTTCTTGTCGCAATCTGAAGATAACCGTCGGAGTCCGTATCAGAACTTACTTTTGGTGTGGCAACTCGATTANGGGGGGGGGGGGGATTCTTGTATGAGATTTGATGTAAGTTTCAATTTTGTTTAAAATGTCATGCCATTTCAGTTGTTTGAATGGACCTTCTGCATCCAATATAAGACATTTTACTTTATTTTCTGTTATATTTTCTACTAACTTATTTGTGTACTGATTCTCTACTAACTTATGTGTGCATGATTCTATACTAACTTATGTGTGCCCAGATCTCTTTTTTATTGTAATGTACTCCCATTTTCTTGAATATACTTTTTGTCAGATGAGCCTGAGTGATATATTGTATTTTAGTTAGTGCTTATATTTCCTTTTGGGCTTTCCATTTGTGAAAATAAGAACATCATGTAGATATCTTTGAAAAGATTATTAACAATCTTCTACTGCAGATTCTTTGCATCTAGGTACAGTAAAAGGGTTTTTCTATTTTATTTTTTTATGGTTTAGACTTTGAGACATAAAGTTGGATGAAATATAGAAAACTTATTGTGTGATTGTTATAATTTTTTCTCTAGATTTAAGTTTCAAAAGAAAGTTAGGTCAAAGACAATGCACCTTTTTGTCACCTAAAGCTTTTTTCACTCACCTAACATTCCATCTGTCTACACTAACCCTCTCTCTCCCATGTTCCAGCATGATTCTCTGTTTCTGAGCACATTGGGTTTTCTCAATGAGGCCCTTGTGCCACTGGTGGAGGAAAGGGTTAAAGGTCACACTCAGCAGGATTGCACAGAGTTTGACGCTGTGCATCAGGAGCTGAATAATATTGAAAGGAAGTTAGTTTTTATTTTACAGCTTCTTTCTTGGGTGATCGATTCTTATTTGTAGCTGTGAAACAAAGACTTCTAATTATTTAACAGTTTCTTTCTTGGGTGATCCATTCTGATTAGTTGCTGTGAAATAAATTTAATTATTACATTTTATTTAATGGCTTCTTATAGGCTGGCATTTGGATCTCGTTGATGATAAAAAGTTGATTTTTGTTTTATAGCTTCTTCATTTGGTGATGGGACCTGCTTTAGACAAGTTATTTTTTTATACTGCTGCCTCAGATTGGTTTTATTTGATTTACCAAATTTTTGCAACACACTTACGGACACAGTGTTGTTGATTACAGTGTACATCCATTCTATGATTGTAATTTTATATTGTAATATTTACAGATTATAAAAGGTTTCCAGTGAATGATTTAGTGTAACTTACATGCACTACATTTAATGCTCTCATTAGTTTTAACCTCATCTTGACTATGGTTAAGATATGGCTACATGAAAGATTAAGTAAACTGATTAATAAGCAGTTTTGTGGTGCATGTATTTGGCAGTCTTTTACGGAGAAGAACCAAGCTGTAAAAATTGAATTATTGTTATACATCTTCAGCCAATTTGCTTAGAGATTTTAGCCAATTGGATTGTAATTGCTTCATCATATTGTCTGTAGCAGCAGTTTTGAAAAGCTAGCAAAACCCTTTAATTTAAATAATGAAATTTAGTTTAAACTAATGAGCACTTTTTTGCCTCACCCTGCTGCTCTTTGTTTATATTTGCTATATCAAATTGAAAAATTATAATTTTTTATACCATCAGTGATATTTATCGATGACTGTTCCCCAAGCACCAGAATTTATTGATTTTATTTATTATTTCTGATGAAGGAATAATATAGTATCATAATTTTGGAATTTTAGCGAAAAGTTTCACAATTTATATTTTATTCTCATTCTTAATTGAATCATAAACTGCACTTTGTGATTGAATGATTATTCCTTAAATGTGTTTTCTTGTTGCACAGCTGCTTGCTTCTCTAGGTATTTTCCAAGCAATTTTTTAATTTCTTAACTATCTACTTTTTAGTAAAACTATTGTGCTTGGTGTAATAAATTGTGTCGTTTCTTTGTCCAATTTTACAAAGATCATATTCAGTTCGTTACTTCATGTTTTAACAAGCCTGTCTCACAGTGAAATGTATATGTCATCAGGCCCGTAGCCAGCAATTTCAAAAGGGGGGTTCTTTTTCTGAAAAAGTGGACCTTTTCCCATAAAAACTTTATGTACCTAGATCAAATTTTACCCAGAGTGGACCTTTTCCCAGCAAAAGGGGCGGTTCTTTCGAACCCCCTGAACCCCCCTGGCTACGGGCCTGGTCAATGAAACATCTAACACCATGTCATTATCATATCAGAATTAATGTCAGTGTTTGTAATTACACCTAACAACCATCACTAACTATTCTTGTGCCTATTTAAGTTCAAGGCCTTTCCAATGCATAATGAATGGATTTATATATAAAACTGTTCTATGTGTTATGCTGTCATGCCTGTAACAATACTGTGTTCAATTGCAGCATGATTTCATCGTAAAGAATGCCAAGTTTCTGGCCAAGTCGGTACTTCCTGTTGCGGAGAAAATGTTCAAGGAAAAACTGGGGCATACACCAAAGGATATTATCAACCTGAATAAGGAATATAAAAAACTGAAGAGAATTTGGGAGACAAGTGGTGCTTTGGTCTGAATAAACTTACAGGAACTGCCCTTCAATCTAGAAATGAATGTTTTCTGGATTTTTCTGGAAATGTGATTATTTGTATACATGTTGTATTTATGCTCCTAGACCACTGCTATAGAGCTACATAAAATTTTTCTTGATTTTTATTTAAAGAGTCAGTTAACTCTCTGCATGACGATGCTTTTATCTGGATTATGGACATGGGTAAATAAACTGACTCAGCTCCTGAAAGAGAGACTGCTACTTCGTGTAATATATATTTAAGTTCAAGGTTTATCACGAAGGACAGAGAAAAACACCAATTTTCATAAGAGGAGGAATTGTCAGTTTCGTTTGCCAAACGTTTTTTTTTTGAAAGGTGCTAACTAAATTATGTAATCTTGACATGAAAGGGACACTTAAGTTGTTAATTTTCCCTTCAGCATTTTGATTGTGAAGTCACTTCATTCAACTTAATTTCTAACAATACCATTATAATTCACTATTTATGACTGATGTGTAATGTTTGTATATATACATTGTTGTTTACATATGTACATAATTGTCTTGTTTCTAGGGCTATTTTTTATTTTTGCTTATTTGTGCTGACTTTTTCGTCGGTGCAATATACTTTGGTTGATAATAGATTAAAATTTATCATCAGAAGTTTAAAAATCACGAAACTATTTGACAGAGAAGTGTTATAGTTTTTTTTGTCTTATTGTTTTTCTTTTTTTTTTTTTTTTTTGAAAATGTTAAACAAAAGTATAGCGCAAGCTAAGTGTACTTGCCGAAATACCAATGTCATAATACTACTACTATTGACGTATTAGATTTATGTAAAAAAACAGAATACCTCAATCATGAAGTAGGCCTACTTTGATAAATAAGAAATTTAATGAACATGTTAAAAGTTTTCAGAATATTGCGTATCTTTTTCAGTGCATAAAATGATTTCGTTGATAAATGATCGGTGTTGTCTTTTCTTTACACAATTGGTTATCGAAAATTCAAAACAGTAGCTTGTCTTTTATGTATAGATCTACATTTATTATGATGTTAAATTCATAATAAAGTCCAATAGTATCCTGAAGAAAAATATTCATTGATCACTTTGCTGTTGGTGTTTGCTTTACCCCCACCACATGTAGCCTACATGATTGTATGCCACTGCTGAATTCTTTTTAGTTAAAACTTTTTAGGTTATCTTTTGTAAGATTAAAGTCTGTCCGTTCTTTCTATTTCTAGTGCCAATAAAGCATTTTAGTTTATGTAATTCAGTCAGTTTCTTCTGTTGTTTCCGAGTTTTTCTCAAACAGAACTGCCAGATCTTTCTCGTCTGTCACTTCTTTTAACTGCAACGGGGTCTCCGTTTTCAAAAACACGACTCTATTCCGCGCATGCTCTGTAAACTCTAGCATGTTTAGTTGCGTGGCGAGGCTCAGAGCAGCCTCTGCGTGTTCTAGGGCTCTTACGATGTTTCCTCTTCTGAATTGATAGTCGCACTTCCCGAGGAGTAAGTGAACCTCGAGAATTTTGGGAATTGGAATAGAGGAGTCCTCTAATTGGCGAATATAACCACCTGCGGTTTTAACGTCGTCCTCGGAAGGGTGGAGGGTGTTCATTGTCAAACCGTTGTCCCCGCATTTGAGGAGCAGGATGCAAAGCCGGCATATCGCGTAGCCGCTTCCAAACGGCCCATCTTTGCCCCCGTCGCGCTGGAAGTTTTCCAGGGCACGCTGAAAGCTTTCCTTTGCCATGGCGTGGAGCTGGTTGTAGTTGGTCAAGTAGTTTGGGTTGTAAGGGTTCAGCGTGGTCATTTGCGAGGTTTTGCTCCGACCGTCGTTCATGTACAGCCATCCAGCGGCTCGGCCAGTGCATCCGGTTGGATCCGTCTCGATGATTTGCTTGACGTCATCCAGGGCATTCTCAAGCTTTTCGAGTCTCTTCTGGGTGACGTACATGCGCGTCTTGGCGGTGAAGAGTTCCACCGTGAAGTACTTTGGGTCCGAAGTCTTAGGGACGGTCTCGAACGCGAGGTCAATGTGACGCTTTGCTGCATCAAAGTCGTTTTTAAACAGGTCCCTACTTGCGTGGAGATACGATAGCAGACATGTCATATCGGGCTCGTGGACATACTGGTTCTGGAGATTCGCAGAAACTGACTCGAATTTCTCCTAACAACCCTGGTTGATGAGAGTGCTGAGGTAATTGAAGGCCACTGACAAGCGTTTGCAAGCGGCAGAATCAGTGAACGTCGAGCTTGGCTTTGTCGTAAATAGTGTTTTGGGTGAATGGTGAATGACAACCACGTCGCCATGTTGTTCATCGCGTTGGCGTGTTTTTCGCCTTCGCTGCTGCCGTTTTCTTGTCGCAATCTGAAGATAACCGTCGGAGTCCGTATCAGAACTTACTTTTGGTGTGGCAACTCGATTCTGGCACTTAGGTATCTTCTTTGGATGCGGAGATTCTTGTTTCTGACAAGATTTGCTGGCCGATTTTTCAACATACACTTTGGCACCGTCAACGGTAGTGAGTGAATTATCGTCGTGGAATACGTTTTCATGTCGCTTCTGGCGTACCTCTTGTTTTCTTGATGGTGATAAATCGCCAGGAACTTCTGTCAGTTGGCCGTGGATGTCGTCATCAATGCGATCAAGGATAAAGTTGTACTTTTTCTCCAGAGATTTTTTTAACGTTGAAAGAACCCCGTTGGCTGCTGGGCGCTTTGCCAACTCCTTGAACAGAGTCTCACATCTGTCCTTTCGCGTTGCTCCTGCCCGCACGCGCTCGCATTCATCATCGCTCAAAACGCCTTCTTGGAAATGATGATCAATCAAATCTATCGGCTCAACGTTATCGAAAAAGAGACAGCAATGTCGGTGTAAAAGACTGGATAATTGTTTATTACCTGATACACCGATGAGAAGATTTCGGCACTTAGTACAAGGGTTGTGTTCTGCATCGTTTCTCGCGTTTTCGGTCGTGGATGCTAGTCGTTTCGGTTGAGATTCATCACTCATTGCATTGGTTAAGACATTCTTACGTAACGTTTCGTCACCTGAATCAGAAATTTCTTTTTTCCTTGTCGAACATGCATCTTCGAATTCTTTTCTTTCAGTTGAGCATGTCTCAACGAGTTCTTTTATCTCCGTCGAAAATGCCTCAGTTCCAGAACCAATTTCTCCGCTGTCGTCTGCAGGCATGAGCAGCTGTTGAATGTGTTCGTATCGAGCGTCACCAAGGGCGCGAGTGAAGGCCCCGTATGCACTGGGTCCTCGGCGAGGAAGGAGAGACAGCAGCAGCTGACAGCGCACCTTTCTTGTCTTACCCGTGGACACAAGCTCGCAGTCGTTATCTGTGAGGACGCCATCTTGATTTAAGTAGTCCAACACCTCTTTTGGCTCCAAATCATCAGTTATTGCCACGCGATGGCGCCGCAGACTTTCTTTTTGGTCAAGTTCCATAAGGACTCTGCAATACAGAAAAAAAATTCTAAAAAAATTGACAGATTTTTCTAGAGAATATGTTTTTCAATACTTCAGCGTTTTAAAAAATCATAGTGTTTGTTTGGAGAGGTCTTTCAAAACTAATGAATTAAGCATGAATAATAGCAAGAGTTGTGTAATTTGATTTCTAATACAGGAGCCGCCCTCAAGAGGTAAAGGTAGACCTAGCCAGAGCCACGGTAGTGTAGCAACAGGTAGCGCACCAGTGGTATTCGGGCAATAATATGCGACCGCATCAATAGCCGCCCACCTGTTGAATAATTCACACATTAGCGCATGCACTGATTCAGTGTCGACTAGTAAACAAGGACTTGGTATTTCCATCCCATTATCTCATTGACACACGGCCAGTCATATATATGTTTATATACAGGGTTATATATATATATACACCTCATGACTTCAATCCAATCAATGTGCTATCGGGGGTTGTTTCGTCTGTTTAACGCCAGCGAAATGTATAGGATACATTTTAAAGGAGTTGGGTCGTGTAGAAGGTAATAGGTTTAAGATAAAGCCTGGCTTTGTTTCACCATTGTCAGTGAATACCCCAAACCGTCTCTCTTGAACGTAGCTAAGCGGGGTTACACGTGCCTATTTGCGCATAATTCTTAGAATATCAATTCTATTTTTCACCGTGTTGTTTATTTGGCTAATTAGTCATAGAAAATCCTGACATCAAAGTATATCCACTCGAGTCGTTCTGGAATCATAACCTGAACTTGGATTCCAGATTGATTACACAATAGGCCTACACATGCACAGTGTAATAAGGTCTAATACTACCCTAGCCGATAAATAATATTTCTAACCACTTTGTTCCCTTCTGCATAACCGTCTGTCCTGAAAGCCCCATCCAAACTTGTGACGAACTATCGATGATGTTTCGTCAGCTTACAAACCGGCGAACCAACTCCGATATAACATAACCACCGTCGTTGGTGAAAATACTGTAATAGCTAACAAGTACCTACGTTCGTACCCCCATACGTTTAGTTGTTTATAAATAACTTACCAACAGATAAGGCAGTATAATTCCGAAAAGTTCTACTGACCTTCACACCATTTACAAGCATGCACACTGTAAACTTGCCTTCGTGCGACTGGTTTCCTCCAATATCCGGTATTGTGGAGACTGATATGCATATATACAAGGATCACATTCGCTTCCGTATATTTCCCATTTTTCTAAAAATAACTCGTGACGTAGAATCTACAACTAAAGGTAACGTGATTGGTTGTTGGACGCGAAGCTGTGCGGGACTCCATTGCGTTGATCTCAACTGCTACAATGAGGTGTTCGCCAGTGTGATACCCAGTTGCTGTTTAACTAAAAGTCTAACGTATTACACTTAAAAGGATAATAACTCTTCGTATGAGATCTACATTTCACAATAAAAACATTGTGAATAACTCATAGAAATATAATATATTCTGTTTTACCACAAAAACGGCAATTATAGCTATTATTCTGATATCTGAGCTTTTTTAGACCACGTGACCTCCATTGATGACTATACTCTGTTAAAATCTCTTAAGAAATTTTAACAAAAAAACCAAAACTTTTTTGAAAAAAACCAAGGACTAACTTTGAATGTAAAAATGGATTCATCAACCATTGGTAAGTATGGAAAAATTGTTGTTTACTCCAGGAAAATTCATTTTTTGGCCGAAACGAAGAGTTATTATCCCTTTAAGTGTATAGCGACTACATATTGTTGACTGCAGTATGTTTCCCAAGAGATTAGGTCTACTGTCGCTATTGACAATTCAAAAGATTATTACAGTCACAATTTGCTCTTGGGATTAAAAAATAATAAATATATGAAAGAGGTAGGCCTACTGTTTTATTATTATTATTATTATTATTATTATTATTATTATTATTAATTTTCTTATTGTAAACAATCATAATAAAAAAGGTAAGTGACCTAACTTACTCGACCCATTCAATTTCTTATTAAGCTTTGTAAGGACTTGTTTCCGACACAGTCTGTTCTGTGAAACAGGTCACAGTTGGCACGACTTGTTTTGAATCAAGTGCCCAACACGTTGTTATTGCGCTTGAACTATCACCATGCCTCTCTTTAGCTAGCACTATCTTTTCAAAGGTGCGATTAATTTTTCGGAAAAAGGTAAAAATAAACATCAAGGCCACCAACACAAATTTAAACCTCGTGAATAGTGGTGATATTTATTTTCAGTGGTACGCTTATCTTTGCCCTTTCAAAATTGTTTCAAATTGAAAAACTGCACTGTCAACAATTAATTAGAATAACCTGAGTCTAAATACACTCCAAACACCGGAGATATCGACAACACAGATTTTTTATAATAAGTAACTTTCCAGGCATCTAGACACTGACACAGTGAAAGCGGATATACAATTCAACAAACAAATTACCTTGTTAACTTTACCTATTTAAGCACAATGCAATAATCTTACATTATGCATCTACAAAATAATTCATTATGTGTTCAAAAATAAATTCTTCATTGTCATTATTCATGTTGGTCGATTTGGATAAGCGACTTGCACAGCTGTCATTTTACCTTCTAAGCGTTCTGCTCTTTATCGTCTTAGATCTAGGTGTTCTGTTCCTCTCCCGCTGTTATGCTTATGGTAAAAGGCTCTTGCTTTAACATGTTTTTAAAGGCATCTTTAAAGAGACAGCGATGTGCCTCCCTAACTTCGGCCAAACTTAATCCGTAAACAAAGGGATTCAATATGGAATTGAAAAGCAGCAAAAAGAACGAAAGATACTGCAGTCGAATAGCAGATATGGGCTCAATTATGTTATAAATGAAATTTGACAATACAAAGGGCAACCAACAGCAAATGAGGCTTCCAAACAATGTGATGACTAACTTTGCTAGTTTGAACCTACAACTTTGAGACAAAGTGTGCAGTTGGGCGGCTGGCGGCTCGCACATTTTCTTCTTTGCCGTCAGAAACACTCTCAACTTCATGCAGGCTAGTATAACGACCTCCAACCCTATAAGTATAGGAAGAATTAGGTAGTATCCTTGAGCGTCGGTTTTCCAGAGAAACAAACAAAATTTCGCATATGTGGCATCTTTCGGCGACGTTAGCAATAACTTTCCGAGGGCTACAAATATATTCAGTCCACCCAACAGGAAAGCCACGACCCATACCAGAATGTTCACTATTACCGCCCTCTTCTTTGTGACGAGAGTATTGTACCGAAAAGGGTGTCTTATTGCTATATACAGGTTTAGCACAATAACTAAAATTGTCAATGCCGAGGCAAGCAATGGGATAAGCCCAATGGCGTTATCGACAGCAACTTGACATCGAGTGATGCTGCTGTCCATGGCATACATGCGGGCAATTACCTCACCGTCTCCGCTGTACGCGTAGACAATCAAAGGAACTGACATCCAGAATAAGCAAAAGAACACAAACATGTCGGCCAGGCAAAGGTTCAACAAGAGAAGGTGGTAGGGTTTGGTAGTAGGACGCACCATCCTGATAGCCTCTAGTGATATTCTGTTGAAGGCGAACCCAAGGAAGGAAAAGACCAACATCACAGGTGCGCCCGCACGGAGTATGGTTACGCTCTCTTCCACGTAACTGTTGTTCACAGGAACGGTGCTGTTGGTACCAAACATTCCTGCGTCGATCTTTCTTTATTTCAATGATATCCTGTAAAATGAAGCCTGTCACTTAATCTGTCAGAGAATGCCTCCACCCGTGCTGTACATGTACTATTGGCCGTCTGAAATCAATGACCACAGTACACCAATTTTCGAACAAATTCGTAGGCCTTTTTCCACCTTCATTCATTTAAACTGTTGAAAAAAGAAATGCATATACTTCACACTAAATGCGTTATCAGTTCTTCGTCGATCAGTTGTTGTCATGATCAATGTCATGGTCCACACGTATCAATTGAATGTTTCCTTTCTTCCCATTTACTGACAAAAAGGCCAGCTTTCTTTGACAGTCCGTGTCCCTTTTTTGCTAGACGACTCTGTAGTATATTCTGTTGTTGCCCATTACTGTTCCTCGCTTCGTAGCGTTCAAATACTTTTTTGTCGCTGTACCAGTTATTTATATAGTTCAGGCCATCCAATGACGTGTTTGATCGTGTAAGATAACTTTTGAGTCGCATTTAAATATATCTACATGCACATCATTATTTTTTTTCAACTAAAATTTGTGCCCACGCGTTGAATCTTTACCGTTTACTCTGCTGTCTAACTCACACTCTAATGGCACCGCTTATCGATATAGCAATCACGGCAAAGTGGAGGCAGCAAAGGTGAAGTGAACGTCGTGATATTCTAACTTCATAACAAGCTTAGGAATAACTAAGGGCAATGATAAGATTGTCTTTACATTGCTCTTGACCGGTCCAATAAACTGTGTGAAAGTTCTATATATTGTACAGCATGATTCATCAATTTCGAGATTCAAAACCCCACGCTTATCGGATGCCATGTCAAAGCCAGGGCAATCTGTGGCTGAACTGTACAGTATGTAGCAACTAACTCCATGCCAAAGAACACGCCCAGTGTAATATTTGGTTTGATATATTTTTGGTACTTATGTGTTCATATGATGGATAAGTTTTAGAAACCTTAGGTTTAAGCAAAATTCCCCAATCCATCCATACCTGCGGCGCAGTTTTGTAGGTCTATTGGCATCGATCGATGATTGAATCTTCATCATTAAAATAATTTTTTATAATTTTTCCAAAGAAGCAATATCCACCACAGGTTCAATAAGGTCCGTGCCTTACGTGCAAATTTCCCCCGTGAAAGCACAGGTCTAGTTTTAAAGTAGGATTAAAACAGAAAGCACTCAGTTCCCTTGCACTTACTTTCATCCGCGTTTTAGTCATTGTTTTTAACATTAATATGGATGGCTTTTTTGCATTTATCAAACGTGCTGAAGAGATAAGAGCGTTATTATTCAATAAAACATCAGCCTTTCATTATATGACTTAATTTGTGTCAAACCTTTCAACACTAATGGGTATTTCAATTCGCGTCAATTTTGTTTGAGTTGGTAATCAATAAAGATGTAGTTTGTGAGTTACATGCATGCTAAGCTCTCGGTGTATTTGTCCAAGGCTAGGCAGATTAAGATCAAATAATAATAATAATAATAATAATAATAATAATAATAATAAAACAAATATTGTGAATACCTTTAAGAACGTTTTTAAATACCAGCAAATAAATGATAAGAAATGTTGATTCCTTCTGTTACCATGTGTACACTACAGTACACAAAGAGTAATTATAAATAACTGTTAAAAATGACAAATCGTAAAATATTGCACGTGGAAACACCATGGGCCCTAAGCCGTATCGTTAGATCTCACGCTTTGTCTTATTGCTGCATCGTTACAGTATAACAACTGGGTATTAATTGAGCTAAATAATTAAATAGTACGGCATTCTGCCAATAGAACTAAATTGCTTTCTCATTCATTGCCACCACGTGACCCCTACGTACATGGACAATAATGGTTTATAGATATACATAAGATAGATATTAGTTAAACCACGGCTAGCGCGTACAGTAAAGGCCTCTTCCCTACTGTATTATTCATGCAGCACGTCTTGCGCGAATGTGTCTCCAACTTAGACCTAGTTTCTGTATTTTGAAACCTAGATCTTACCGCACATCTTGCAGAAATAAAATCCCAATACTATGAATCAGTATCTATCCAAACTGCGCACCATGCTGAAATGAAAACTCACATTTTTGTCTTCAAATTGTAATTTACAAGCTCTTTTTATTGAGCTTCAAGTACAGAATGTGAAAATAAAATTAATGTATTTAATCTAATCTTCCAGAGAAAAATAAAATTTTCCGCCGTCATAAACTATAAGAATTCATATGTAAATTTGGAAAGACACGTGGAGTGTCAAGCTTCTTTTAATTTCATTACTTGAGGGGGAGAAGTAGTGTATCCTAGTTATTTGCTTTATAATTTTATTGCCACCTCTCTGAAATTACGCCAGGTGCGTCACTCGCAGAACAAATTCAATGCTTTTAGTACTTGCGCACGTGTATGTGCTGATATCCTAATTGCCATATCAGGCCCGTAGCTAGGGACGGTGGGGGTCGGATTGTGCGAACGAACCACCTTTTTTGCCCAGAAAGATCCGCTCTGAGTTAAAATTTGATCTAGGTACATCAAGGTTTCATGGTTAAAGGTCCATGTTTTCAGAAAGAGAACTCCTTTTAAAAATCGCTGGTAACGGACGTGTACACTCTCGCTGAATGTAGAATTGTCTGGAGGATCTTCAAATCTCTAGGGTGGTCCATCTTTCGCTATATATTGTATTAAAGAGATTACGTGGGTATTTTTAAAATGCATGTAGCAGTATGTGTCCAAGACACGTGTTCACTCTCGTCCTTTATCGTCCATGATGCGTGGTCAAAGTGATCACAACGGACCCTAAATATCCTCTTCCGGGACCTCAGATTATTTTTTTTCAATTGATAATTATAACCACAGACAATACACTCGTAATTCAAGTTCAGCTCGGCGATATATAACGATAAGGGGTAATTTGACTTTTCGCGTCGCAGGCAATTTCACTCTAGGCCTAGGCATGTCGTCGCGGGTTACATACTCGAATAATAGCGGCCTGCATTGTGGACGGGATGGGCTATGACGTCAACCTTCCTAGAACGCAGGATGACAATGACAGCATTAATATCGTTACCAGAAACTGTTACTGTTTTGTTAGGGGGAATGTAGAAGTTAAAAAGGGCACGGTTTTATTCAGAATCTACAGGTGAGTTGTGTAAAATATGTACAGCTTAAACGGCATTGATTTGGTCCTAGTTTATGAAGATGTAGGATGGAAATAAGACAGTACAGTACATACACCCTCTTGAATACATGTAAGCCTAACGGAGGACCTTCAGTGTAACGGTGTTAAGTATATTACCACAGTGGGTACCTTTGTTAATGGCCAGGCTGGTGGGTGGGCGAACTTTTCTACCATTTACCTGTACATGTGTAGTATGTAAGGGAGGGTAGTCAAGTGCATTTTTATACAGGAATGTGCATATGTACAGGAATGTACATGTAATTCATATACAGGCCCGCCTGTGTGGTCGGAAGCTGGTGTTAATTACAGTACTCAGTGCCCTAGCTTGCATATTGTTAAAAACGCGTTCAAGCTCCGGTTAGGATCATAGTACCTAGGAACATTGTAAGTGCGGTATTTGTTGTGAATCATTTCGGTGAATCATTAATATGCTTTTAAGAAGCATAAAATGGCCCAAGTAATTTGGACGGTACTTATCTGACACGTACAAAGATAAAATTTAAACGTTCATTCATCAAAGTCGGCTACTGTGTGGCATGACATGAACGCCTGTGATTATACCCTTGCGTTTACTTACTCATAGTCTCTTTAGCTTGTATCTCTCAAAGACAAAACTCATTGTAAAATATTTGTGCTCTCTTTATTTTGAATTATACATTTTACATATGATTTTATATGTTATATATATATACTGAAGAAAAAACGGCTGGTAGGTCGCAGAAAAAAATTCTTTCCTTCTTTTGACTCTACCTTTACTGAATTCGCTTTCTTTTGCTTTACATTGACCCCATCTAAAGAGAAGGTGTTGAAAGTATTCTGAAGATCCTGCTTAATTTCTCGACGCATTGACCGTGAACAACACAAGAGACAGATAAAGGTGTAATTATACAGGTACATGGGGCATACGGGCACCGGATAGTAACACAGGTGTTGTATATATATATATATATATATATATATATATATATATATAGACGGTGATAATTAAGCACTTGTTACTCGCTGTATATTACCTTTTCACAGATAATCGAGGATATCATTTTCCACACTAAACAAGTCACAAATAAAAAAAGCGCACGTGTACTTAAAGGGATAACAACTCTTCGTTTTGACCAAAAAATGAATTTTCCTGGAGTAAACAACAATTTTCCCATACTTACCAATGGTTAACGAATCTATTTTTACATTCAAAGTTAGTCCCTGGTTTTTTTCTAAAAAGTTTGTTTTTAAGTTATAATCTCTTAAGAGATTATGACAAAGTATAGCCATCATTGGAGGTCACGTGGTCTAAAGACAAGCTCAGATATCAGAATAATAGCTATAACTGCCGTTTTTGTGGTAAAACAGAATATATTATATTTCTATGAGTTGTTCACAATGTTTTTATTGTGAAAAATAGATCTCATACGAAGAGTTATTATCCCTTTAATAAAAAACTGCTTGTGCAGTGCCACGTAGGCGAAAAAGCAAACATACATGTATGCTGCTGACCGTTTTTCTCATACGTCTAACCCCATGCATATATTTAGAGACATTGAAACCATAAATCATTTCGTCCACGCCCTCAGCTTTTATTTACAGTAACAACGCCAAATATTAGAGGCAAAAAAAAGCTTGACGCAGACTATAAGCTGTGCTGTATAATATGGGGAGGAAAGAAAACGGGCTGCCGCACTTCGTTTTGGGAAAGTAAAATGCGTGTGTATGTGTGTGTGCGTGTGTGTGCTTGTGTGTGTGTGTGTGTGTGGGGTGGGGGGGGGGGGGGGTTCGAGCGAAGTTACTAGTTGGGTCCGACTGGTAATAATTTTTAGCTGTGGTTTGGATTATTTTTACATATCCTTTCGATTTCAAGAACTTCGAACGAATTAATTTTTATTCTGACCACCAGGCAGACATATATGTCTGAGGCAAACTAGTCCCATTGGCAGTGGGCTTAAAAGATTAGCGCAAAACTCGCCTCTCTGTCCTTATTTCATGAACTTATATGATTAATGGCCGTTAAAAGTCAATGCTAAATCATTCATTCAACCATTGGGATTTCCTTTCCGGATAATTGCCCACAACTAACTGAAAGATGTTACATAGTCCATTAAGCGTATGCTTTAATCATTAATCCTATTTGCAAAACAGTTGATCGATATCTAATAGACACTAATGGGGCCGGGACACAATGTTTCAATAATGTTTACTGTCAATAATATTGATATTAATAAGGGCAGCATCCGTATAAGGGATCGTACTTCACTGCACGTTTACTCATTTCAGCACCATGGATTCTACCCGTAACACAAGGCCAGGCTACAGAAATGCGGGCTATTTCGTACTAAGCTTGTACTTCATTTGCTGTATTCGGAATGGTCTTGGACTTTTGACGACATCAACAACAACACCAACAACTGCTACGACAACAACAACAACTACAACAGCAACAGAGGGATATAACGGAAGCACGTTCACAGTCATCGAAGTGATTCCTATGACACCCCCAGCGCCCGTACTACTAACTCCACCGCCTTTAATAATAAACCTCCCGCAGACGACGCCAACACCACTCATACCCCACACAGTGCCGGCCCCGGTGATGGCTGTTTCTTCCGAGTTTCTCTGCGGAGGGCCAGACCGCGAGCCACCAACTCCGGGCTTCGAAAACGTGCCCTCATGTGGACAATACGCCAATAAGTTGACGTGCGAAAGCCACTGTGGTACCGTCAGCAGTCGTTGGGAAGACCAACGCCCAAAGTGGTGCTCTTGCGACTTCATGTGTAATTTCTACGGCGACTGTTGCCCGGATGTGGATAGCAAATGCCCGGATGAAAAGGTGAAGTATTCGGCTTTGAAACCAACGCTGAACATGACTGCCGATTTCCACTCGGGAACTATCTGCCAGAAGATGAAATATCCTTTTCGCTCAACAGAGAACGAAATAACGAATAATGTGCTTGTCATTGGAAAATGCACCACCAACTGGACATCTCAGATGGTTACCAATGGCTGCGAGAAAGAGGGCGATCCCCTTTATCTGGATGTAAAATATCTCTTGCCCGTAACCGACAGAAGGACCGGAGTCCATTACCGAAACTCTTTTTGTGCTGTCTGCAACGGTATTGACGACTTCATATTCTGGGAGTTGCAATTCAACTGTTCCCAACCAGTTTACCTTGAAAATTCTTCAAACCCCATCACTGAGCTAGAGAACAGCGACCAGTGCAAACAGGCCATCATGCCTCCGGCCTGGAGTCCGTATCGCCTGTGTGAGCATGCCGTCGGGGAATGCTCGAAAAACTGCACCAATGAAAAATTGATCCGCGAATGCCATCGTTACCAATTGTACGTCTCAAGTGGAAATGACTATAAAAACGAATTCTGCGGTATGTGTAACTATGAGAATCTGCTTGACATGTATTGTTCTAAAGGCACATTGCCTGGCGACATTCCGGGCACAGATATTTCTTTCTTCTCTTTTCGAGTTCTTATGGATTTCAACAGTCTCGACGGCCTTCGCATTGGTGTCAAAACGTCACAGAAAGACGAAAAGCCAGTTATCAAGGAAACACTGTCAAATTGCATTATCTTTGGCCAGTCGTGTAAACCGATTCAATGCTCAAGAGATTTCACGTTGCTGGACGGCGTCTGCGTGTACAGATACCCTCTTAGTGATGTTAAAATCGTGACGACATGGGTTACTAAAGACCCAAACGAGACGGTTCCTTCCGCCAGAAACTTTCAAAGACTTTACCCTTTTAAAAAACAAAAGACGGACATCGTCCAGGCACTGACGGCATTCTTTGAGAAAGCATTCTCATCACATGGCGAAGTTGTAACGAACTATTTTGACACTGCAAATCCACGGGCTGCCACCATGGAAACCCAGTTTCTACTGAAAACAAATGATGCGAACGTTGGTCAAAACCAGGTTAATGTAACAATCATGCTAGCCCTTGGTCAGGTCATTGACGTGATAGTTGCTGCTTATAATAACAACACGAATGAAACATTTAAATATATCGGTAACACATACACCTTTAGCCCCTTTCACTCTGGGGTAAGCGACTGCCCTCGTATTGGCCTTAATGCTTCTGACTATGCCATTTTGGAGAATGGGTCCATTTCACTTCATGTCGCAAATACCGTGATAGACAGAAATGATTATCAAGTGTGGAATAATCAGGTATGGGTATGCGCTGATACCCTGGGGTCGTTATTCACAAGTCATGAGGTTAATAATTCTACGGGAAACTCTTCTAATCCATTCGACAACCAAATATACAGTAATCTGTCCGTTACTGAAGGAATCGTGACGGTGATATGCTTAGCCATATCTTGTTTATGTTTACTTTTACGGATTGTGTTGCAGCCATTTGTTTCCATCTTTCGGACGTTTCCAGGAAGACTTCAATTTTGCCTCGTTTTTGTCCTCTTCATATCGAAAGTCCTCTTCCTAATAAGGCCTTTTTTTCTCGGCAACGAAGTCGGATGCCAAGTTATTGCTGTATTGTTCCATTGGAGTGTACTGTGTTCCGTTCTTTGGATGAACGCCATTGCAGTCGACATGACACGGACATTTGGTACGAAATCGTCTCTGACTTCCGATCGATCTGGAGGGTCGAGGAAACGGTTCCTCACGTACTGTATCTATACCTCGCTTTGCTCTGGGTTGATTGTGGCGACATGTCTAATTTTGGACTTTGTCGACATCAATGAAGACTTCCAAGCGAATTACGCGTCAGGAATTTGCTGGATTTCCAAGAAATACCCTCTTATTATATTCATGGTGGCCCCAGTCGGCTTGATTATCCTTGTGAATCTGATACTTTTCACGATAGCCTCCCGAGCAATTCATGGCGCCATGAACAGCGCCAAAGAACTGAACTCTTCTAAAAATAAAAATCACCCTTTTTCTATCTATGTGAAGCTGTTTACATTGATGGGGGCACATTGGATTTTTGGTTTTATTGCCAGTCTGATGAGTGACCCAACAGTGTTCACTGTGTTTTGGTATATATTTATTGTCACAGCCTCATTGGACGGTGCGTACATCTTTTTATCTACAGTGTGCACCAAGAGAGTATTGGAAGATTTGAGGAAAAAAATCAGACTGAAAACAAGCCACCATGCCTCGGGCTCTACACCCGTCCTTCCCGCTTCGTCAAATAGGAGCAACGCAACGTCGAAGAATAAAAGCACAGGTACAACTCATCTCTAATGTGAGAGAGATTGCAAGGATACCATTGAAAGCCCAGAGGCTATCTAAAACTGTGGCAAAAACAGTTCACAGAGCTTGTATTTCGATTGGAGAAGGATAATTGAATTTCCTGAATCAATAAAAAATCGCACTAAAAACAGTTCACAGGACGTTTTGTCTCTTATTTCTCTAATAATTTATATTATTGTATTACATTTGACACCTACAAAGCATGCTATTATTCTATATTTAAACTGCTTTCTAGAAAATCCATGTTACAGAAAAAGACCATTTAGGCAACTAGCAGAACTTGTCTGCTGTCTGTTTCAAATAGGGGAGATCACACCAGTTGGCCCGGGGGCCATTTAAAAGGTGCGTCACTGACAGGTTTTACAAGCCTTAACCTATTAGAATTCATTGTCCTAGTATGAAAATGCCTTTATTTTATTATGTCATTACTGAATATTAAATGTATCTATAACCTCAATTTCTATTGTACAATTTCATCTACCCATGTGGATGTATTCGTTACAATGAATAAAGCATCTTATTTGAAATGTGTGGCTTAATTGACACAGCCGCTGTTTTAAATCCCCTGTATATGGCGCTGTCTGCTTGATTATAAAAGTTGTTGTTTGGGTTATACGGCGTTCTGATCTCTTAGAGTGCTCCCAGGTGTCACGGGTGTAATCATTAAAAAGATCAAACACTCACCCCATTTCTAAGCAGTTAGCCCAATCAGTTAATTGAAGTGCTCGTCGCAAACAGGAAATGAATTAGATATAGTTTTAAAGGTAGGAATTTGGCAATGGAGGGGAGGTTCAGTGCTTTGCTGCTTTTCAATGAAATGTTTTCACCGAGAATGATACATTCATGAACAATCCCAAGTCGATTACATTTATTATTTATATTCACGTCAGCACATCTAACAAGGAGTTTACTTGACAGCCGCTGTTTTGAATTACCTGACTATAAAAATTTTTAGATTATACAATGTTCTAATCTCTTAGAGCAACGGAACGTCAAAGAATAAAAGTACAGGTACAACTATCTCTAATGTGAGAGAGACTGCAAGGATAGCCCAGAGACTATCTGATACTGTGACAAAAACAGTTCCCAGAGCTTGTACTATGATTGGAGAGGGATAAAAGAAATCCCAGAATCAAGCGAAAATCGAACCAAGAACAGTTCACAGGACGTTTTTTCTCTTATTTGTCTAATAATATATCTAAATGTATTATATTTGATACCTAAAAAGCATGTCACAATGCATTTTATAATCTATTCTCTTTTCAGATGATAAGACCATTTAGGCAACTAATGTAAAGTAGAACTGCAATTGGTCTGATATCTGTTTGAAAAGAGATAACACACTAAGGATTCGTTCACATGCAATGTNCTCGCGTTCCCACGGATAATTTAGCGGAAGTCACGTGACCGTGGAAAAGACTCTATTGTCCCAGTGTAATAGGGCTGGAAGTCCGGTGTCACGAAACTGAGGGTCCGTGTGGCAGAAAGTCCGCCCTCCATATATTTATAATGGTTAGGGTAAGTCTGACCTAAGTGGGTCAAAATCTAGGGCGCGGCTCACCTCTTCAAAGTAATGGGAAACGGACTCTCTGTCACGGGGGACTTTCTGGTATATGACACCGGGCTTCCAAATGGTTAGTGCAAGTTAGGGTCAGTTGGAGTATTGGAGTTAGTATGTTGACGACTTAACGATAGTGTTAAGTGTTTACCACAGTAGATACCCTTGTTAATGGACGGGTTGATGGGTGGGGGGGAGTTTTCTACCACTTACCTGTGCATGTATAGTATATGTAAAAAGGGTAGTGAAGTGCATTTTTACACATATGTACGGGAATGTACTTGCAATTCATACACATGCCCAACTGTGTGTTCGGGAGCTTACGCACATTACAGTTCATAGTGCCCTAGCTTGCGTATCGTTAAAAAAAAAAAAAAAAACCCGCTCAAGGTTAAGGCAATAGTGCATATGTAGGTGAGGCATTTTTTTGTCAATGTTTTGGTTAAATCATTGATATCCTTTTAAGAAGCATAAAATGGCCCAAGTAATTCTGACGGTACTTTTCTGAAACGTACAAAGATAAAAAGTACTTTTATCAAAGTCGGCTACCGGTATGGACCGTTGCGTTTTACTAACATTTGTATCACCATGAGTTCAGCTGTTTTATTATCTATTCTTTCTTTAGTTCCTTTGAAAGAATATGAATGGCAGAAGAGAGATAAATGTGTTAAGCATGTATCATAATCCTTAAAACTAATGGCAGTAGCTACAATTAAAAAAAAAACTTGGAGCCATCACTTATGGATCCAAGGTTCATTAAGCAGCCTTTCAGTCATTGTTTGTCGTCCCAATTATCAGGAAGCTATTCTCACAAATTAAAGGTACACATGTCGGGAGTTGGTAGTTTTAGAATACAGTTCAAAGTCATCGTATATTACAGAGAGCATTCACAACAAAGTTGACTGGCGGACTCACTAGCACTTTACAATGGATCTCCGTTTCCCACGAACACCGTCCCAGCGGGGGCAGAGCAGTTAAATATCACGGCACGCTTTCAAGTGGGTGGCGCCATATTTGATCCGCAGATCTGTAAGTTCACAGATCAGTTTGTTTTTATTGCGCCCATATTAAAGTTATGCGCCCAATCCCTTCGTATGCCTGATCTCGAAGACACGCAAACGAAACTAGAGCAGTGCCGCGCTTTAGCGGTAAAAAAGGTTGGTAAAACTGTAAGACCTAAGATTCAAATGAAAATTTTTATCACAAAGGTAGAAAATTCAGAAACAGTCCAATTAAACGGGACAAATTTTGCCATTTTAGTTTTACAAAAACAAGAAATGGATGTTTTGTATGACTGATAACAAGCTAGCTGCTAGCTGAATCCATATCTTTTACTAATATTGCGAAGTTTTCATCGGGCACATTCATCTCTCATCATGCACCGATCACGTTTACCCTGCTTAGTGGGCCTTTAAAACAAAATGCGCTACCAGATAACGATGCACATAAGACAGGCATTGAACTCATATATTTTTCGTTGCAATGTATAAGCATAAGCAACTCAAAGCTTTAATCGTCAGTTTAACAATTTCTATTTTGAGGTGAGATGGCAATCGGTATGGAGCGTAACTTCATCCCTGAACAAGATTTTATCACAAAAATTAGCATAGTAGACCAGGGGTGCATAGGCCACAGTCCTGTGTCGTCATTTTGGTTTAAATGTTTTTGTTATGGAGTTATGAGCGCATAATTGCAAACTTTTCATAAAACAAAGGTATCATTTTGCTTTTTCAATGATAAAATCTGAACTAAGCCTTTCTAAAAAAATCGCTGGCTGGGTTTTGGCGTACTAAATGGTCTCATTAAATCGGCGTTTACTGAAAGCTGTTACATAGTCCATTAAGGATATTGTAACTCTTTATTATCATTCAGATACCGTACAAATTTTCATAAAACATAGGTATTATTTTGTTATATCAACGTAAAAAAAAATTGAACTAAGCCTTTAAAAAAATCGCTGTCTGGGTTTTAGAGCACTAAATGGTGTCATTAAATCGGCGTTGACTGAAAGCTGTTACATAGTCCATTAAGGATATTGTAACACTTTATTATCATTCAGATACCGAAAATGAGTTTTTTCCTGAATCAAATGTATTCAATAATTCATCTCTTTGTGGAGATTTTAAACAATGAAAAAAACCTCGGAAATATCAATGGTATCCTTGCAGTCTCTCTCACATTAGAGATAGTTGTACCTGTGCTTTTATTCTTGGGTGCTTAGGTAAAAGAGAAATTTAAGAAACCGTATTTTTTCCAGTTTTTACCTCATAATCGCAATTATGATGTCACTCGTAAGATAACATATGTGTAAATGAACACTGAAGAATTATTTAATACCCAAAATAATGTGTGAGGCAGTACAAAAAGAATTTTGGTCGAAGGGTGACAATATCCTTAAGCGTATCCTCTAATCATTGATTTTGTATTTGCAAAACAGTTGATCGATATTTAATAGGCACTAATGGGGCAGGATTGCAATGTTTCAATAATTATTACTGTCAATGATTGACATTAGTAAGGACAGCATCCTTATAAGGGATCGTACTTCACTACACGTTTATTCATTTCAGCACCATGGTTTCTACCCGTAACACAAGGCCACGCTGCAGACACGCGGGCTATTTCGTACTAAGCTTGTACTTCATTTGCTGTATACAGGATGGACATGGACTTTTGGCGACGTCAACAACAACACCAACAACTGCTATGACAACAACAGCAACTACAACAGCAACAGAGGGGTATAACGGAAGCACGTTCACAGCCATCGAAGCCTACACAGTGTCGACCAAAACGATGTCGGTTTCTTCCGAGTTTCTCTGCGGAGAACCAGACCGCGAGCCACCAACTCCGCGCTTCGAAACCGCGCCCCCATGTGGACTATACGCCAATAACATGACGTGCGAAGGCCACTGTGGTGCAGTCAGCAGTCGATGGAAAGACCGACTGAAGTGGTGCTCTTGCGATTACATGTGTAATTTTTACGGCGACTGTTGTCCAGATGTGGACAGCAAATGCCCGGATGTAAAGGCGAAGTATTCTGCGTTGAAATCAACTCTGAACATGAGTGTCGATTACCATTCGGGAACTATCTGCCAGAGGATGAAGTATCCTTTTTACTCAACAGAGAGGACCTCAAGTAATAATGTGCTTGTCATTGGAAAATGCCCCACCAACTGGACATCTCAGATGGTTACCAATGGCTGTGAGAAAGAGGGCAATCCCCTTTATCTCGATGTAAAATATCTCCTGCCCGTAACCGACAGAAGAACCGGAGTCCATTACCGAAACTCCTTTTGTGCCGTCTGCAACGGTATAGGCGACTTCATATTCTGGGAGCTGCAATTCAACTGCTCTCAACCTGTTTACCTCGAAAATTCATCAAACGCCATCACTGAGCTAGAGAACAGTGACCAGTGCAAACAGGCCATCATGCCTCCGGCCTGGAGTCCGTATCGCCTGTGTGAGCATGCCGTCGGGGACTGCTCGAAAAACTGCACCAATGAAAAATTGGTCCGCGAATGCCATCGTTACCAATTATACGTCTTTGGTGGACAAAAGTTTAAAAATGAATTCTGTGGTATGTGTAACTTTAAGGATCGGCTTAACGTGAACTGCTTTGGAGGATTAATCGGTGATCGGGACACGGATATTTCTTTTTTCTCCTTTCGAGTTCTTATGGATTTTAACGGCCTCGATGGCCTTCGCATTAGTGTCAAAACGTCCCAGGAAGAAGAGAGGGCAGTTATCAAGGAAACACTGTCAAATTGCTTTGTCTTTGACCAGTCGTGTAAACCGATTCAATGCTCAAGAGATTACTTGTTGCAGGACGGCGTCTGCGTGTACAGATACCCTCTTAGTAACGTGAAAATCGTGACGGTATGGGCTACGAAAGACCCAAACGAGACGGTTCCTTTGGGCATTGACGAATTTCAAATACTTCACCCTTTTAAAGGACAGAAGACGGACATAGCACGGGCACTGACAACGTTCTTTGAGAAAGCATTCCCATCACATGGAGAAGTTGTAACGAACTATGTCGACACTGTTAATCCAAGGGCTGCCAACATAGAAACCCAATTTCTACTGAAAACAAATGATACGAAAGTTGGCGAAAACCAACTTAATGCAACAATCATAATAGCGCTTGGTCAAGTCATTGACGTGATAGTTGCTGCTTATAATAACAACACGAATGAAACATTTAAATATATCGGTAACACATACACCTTCAGCCCTTTCCACTCTGGGGTAAGCGACTGCCCTCGTATTGCCCTTAATACTTCTGACTATGGTATTTTGCAGAATGGGTCTATTTCAGTTCATGTCGCAAATACCGTGATAGACAGAGAGGATTATCAAGTGTGGGATAATCAGGTATGGGTATGTGCTGATACCCTGGAGTCGTTATTCAGAAGACATGAGGTTAATGATTCTACGGGAAACTCTTCTAATCCATACGTCAACCAAATAAATAACAATCTGTCCGCTTCTGAAGGAATCGTAACTGTGATATGCTTAGCTATATCTTGTTTATGTANTCACCAAGTTTGAAGAACTGCGACATTTTGATGTTCGAACGTACAACTTAGGTCAGTGAATTGGAGTTTGATTTGACCATTCCAACATATATAGCCTTCAAATTGCACGCCTGAACATGCAACACGCCTAACAAAAGAATTGCGCTTGACGTCATCCGTCGCTATGACAAAACGTAAACATTACCCCGACATGCCCAGGCCCGTTCTGTGACGTCATCCGTTACCATAGTGAAACGTAAACATTACCCCCGACATGCCCAGGCCCGTTCTGTGACGTCATCCGTTACCATAGTAAAACGTAAACAAAAATAGGGAGTCTCGTTTGTTTACATTAAAAAAATTGTTTGTTTATTTTGTAAACATCCCCATTGTCCGGTATAGGTTTTCCATTGTTCAAATGATGTAACATAACAAAAGAAAAAAGTGGAATTCTTTTCTCCCGTATAGTACGGATGTAACTACTTATGTATACTTATACGGATTGTCTTACAGCCATGTGTTGCCGTCTTTCGGACGTTTCCAGGGAGACTTCAGTTTTGCCTCGTTTTTGTCCTCTTCATATCTAAAGTCCTCTTCCTAATGAGACCATTTTTTCTTGGCAACAAAGTCGGATGCCAAGTTGTCGCTGTATTGTACCATTGGAGCGTACTGTGTTCCTTCCTCTGGATGAACGCCATTGCAGTCGACATGACGCGGACATTTGGTACGAAATCGCCTCTGACTTCCGACCGATCTGGAGGGTCGAGGAAACGGTTCCTCACGTACTGTATCTATACCTCGCTTTGCTCCGGGTTGATTGTGGCGACGTGTCTCATTTTGGATTTTGTCGACATCAACGAAGACTTCCAAGCGAATTACACGTCAGGAATTTGCTGGATTTCCAAGAAATACCCTCTTATTATATTCATGGTGGCCCCAGTCGGTTTGATTATCCTTGTGAATCTGATACTTTTCACGATAGCCTCCCGAGCAATTCATGGCGCCATGGACAACGCCAAAGAACTGAACTCTTCTAAAAATAAAAACCACCCCTTTTTCATCTACGTGAAGTTGTTTACATTGATGGGAGCACATTGGATTTTTGGTTTTATTGCCAGTCTGATGAGTGACCCAACAGTGTTCACTGTGTTTTGGTATATATTTATTGTCACAGCCTCATTGGACGGTGCGTACATCTTTTTATCTACAGTGTGCACCAAGAGAGTATTGGAAGATTTGAGGAAAATATCAGATTGAAAACAAGCCACCATGCCACGGGCTCTACACCTGTGCTTCCCGCCTCGCCAAAAAGGAGCGTCGAAGAATAAAATCTCATGTAAAACGTATCTCTGATGTGAGAGTGATTGCACGAATAACATTGAAAGCCCAGAGAATATCTGAAACTGTGGCGAAAACAGCTCACAGAGGCTATGAACGGAGAGGGATAATTGAAGTCCCAGAATCAATGAAAAACCGCACAAAGAACAATTCACAGGTCGTTTTGTCTCTTATTTCTCTAATAATATATATTAATGTATTACATTTGACACCTAAAAAGCATGCTATTATTCTATATTTAAACTGCTTTCTAGAAAATCCATTTTACAGAAAATGACCATTTAGGCAACAAGCAGAACTTGTCTGCTGTCTGTTTCAAATAGGGGAGATCACGCCAGTTGGCCCGGGGCCATTTAAAAGGTGCGTCACTGACAGGTTTTACAAGCCTTAACCTATTAGCATTCATTATCCCAGAATAAAATGTCTTTATTATATTTTATCATTACTGAATAGTAAATGTATCTATAATTTTATTCCTATGGTACATTTTCATCTACCCATATTGATGTATTCGTTATAATGAATAAAGCATCTTATTTGAAATGTGTAAGTTGACACAGCCGCTGTTTTAAATCCCCTGTATATGGTGCTGTCTGCTTGATTATAAAAGTTGTTGTTTGGATTATACGGCGTTCTGATCTCTTAGAGTGCTCCCAGGTGTCACGGGTGTAATCAATAAAAAGATCAAACACTCACCCCATTTCTAAGCAGTTAGTCCAATTAGTTAACTGAAGAGATCGTCGCAAACAGGAAGTGAATAAGATATCGTTTTAAAAGTAGGTTTTTGGCAATGGAGGGACGGTTCATTGCTTCGCTGCCTTTCAATGAAATGTTTTCACCGAGAATGATACATTAATGAACAATCCCACGTCGATTACATTTATTATTTATATTCACGTCAGCACATCTAAAGAAGAGTTTACATTTTGCCAAGAGAAATGAGACAAAGTCAAAATAAGTGCCTGTAGTGTTTTGTCCGTAAATTCATTTCGGAGAGACAGATGCTTTTTTGCGTCATGTTTACAGTAAACTGGAGTTTGAAGTTACCGCATCTTATGGGGGTCCGAAAAATCGTTTAATCGGTGTTTGGCACTAGACTTAGAAAATATTGTTTAACAATAAGAGCTGCAGCCCGGAAAACTACATGGGCCGGTTGTATGAAACGGCCACAGCCCCCCCCCCCCCCAAAAAAAAAAAAAAAATTGGTCTGAACTTAAAGAAGAAATATTGTGTCCATTTTGACAGTAGGCATTAGCCTAATAGACATTAGCCGTACAATTAAATGAAATACTGTGCCCATTTTACAAAATGTGGGATAAAACTGCTGTTATAGGTCAATGTTTCATCTACATGTATGAGTTTATTTTGACCGGAAGAAGACAAAAGTTTAGACCAACTTTGAGACCATAGCCGTTTTGTGAAATCGGTCCCTGAAGGCATACATGTACTTGTTCAACAATCAAGATCTAAGTCAACTCATAGTTTCAAAAGTCGTGACAAGATCAATCCTCGACAACACTCATAATATCAATATTATCAACTGTTGTAAAAATGTCAACGTATTATCTAACGGGTTTTTCATGAACCTGTACTCTCCTGTTTATTTCTTTAGGTCCTCACTCTACAAATGCTGGCGTGTATTAATATAGGCCGCTGCATTGTGCTTATCGCGTCAGCAATGCTGGGTTTTGAAAACGTGTTTTCAAACATCGTTTTAGATTAGCAGGGAATGCTAAACGTAAAACTATACTGACAGTCAATGAAAACGCATCAGAAACGTTCTTCTACTTTTTTTTTACCGAGAATCGATTCCAACCATATAAACGAGTACAAATGCACTTGTTTGGTCATAAGAGAGTGGGCTGACCACTATTTCATATTTCACACGAAAACTGTTATTTTCTTAATGTGCCAAAGGAACTTAAAATATTATTTGATAAATAAATGATGCGTTTTCATTGACTGTCAGTATATATCTGTTAATAATAGGCAATAAAAGGATTTTTTTCAATAGCAAAATATGCTTTATAGAAACATATCTCCTAAACCACTCGACGTCATCACAGACAAAAATAGTTATTGTTATGAAAAGTTTACTATATTCAGCGCGAGAGCCATGGTTAAAGGACGTCATGAGTTATAAATATTCAGCGAGATGAGAAACAGTCACCGCTTATTTACCTGAATACCACCTTGATTCAAATTCAGGACAGGCAGGTGACACGGGTTGCACGTTATCCAAAATAACACCTATCTAGCTGTCAACTGCTCTAATAATTTCATAGAATACAGCGTGACAATCTCCACTAGCGTATTTGACTTTGGGTGCGTTTACAATGAAACTTTCGTACTAGGCAGTTCGAACTAGCTCCACGGGGACTCTCGCCGAATGCAATCTGGTTAACAGATTAACAAGCCTCCTCTTGTTTAGTACCCGCTTTTCTGCTTTCTACTCAAAGCCAACAGGAGGGCGGTAGAGTGAGTTCGCACTACCTGACACAACAGTTTCATTGTGAACTCGTTAAGGTTTACCCCGTCCCCTGTGCCTACTGGCTCGGCATCCGATAAAGGAGGACGGTAACAAATGGCTAATAAGCAGACGAGTTTATGCTAGTAAGATCTTAGTCAATTTATATTCAGTGCTTAGGGAAAAGGGACCCGTAAGACTTGAGTTAAGTGGCATGCGCACAGACATTAAACGCCTACGGTAGATAAACACCAGTTATTTCTTTGTGGACTCTGCGCGGTTGAAGAAGGTCACGAACCTGCTATAAAAATAAACTGAAAAAGAGCTATTTTAATAAGACAGGATGGGTACGACATGTATGTGTTATTCCAAATAGGAAGATGAAATCCATAACAATTTATTTGGAAAATGATGTTGTTTCGTGAAATGTAGAATTCAAAACGGAGAACAGTTTATTCTGGTAAGTTGCATTACATGTATTAGCCAGTGATAAGGTAATATCTTAAAGGACATGGAAGGAATGCTGAAAGGCATAGTAGTACCTTAATGTGAGCCTTGTTCCGTACAATACTGTACGAGTAACATGAGCTCTACTCTTAAGTTCAGTGAGAGCGATAAAAGGGGCGGAGTGGGTAGAGCTGGGATGAAAAAGAATCTCAACTTGTAAAGGTAAGTAGATAAATATTAAATAGGAACACGGAACACGAGAGAGAGAGAGAGAGAGAGAGAGAGAAAGATTCGTTAAACCTTGAAATCATCAACCACCGCAGCTAAACCTAATCTGAATTCATATTGAATTCATGTATTCATCACAGTCTCTTTTTCACTAGTGACGAGTATGGCGGTTAAAATATTGTCACTCTGTCTCATCTCAAATGTCTAAAACCTCTGATAATATGAATGAACAGGCCATATTAAACAGGTGCGACTAGTCAGTGTGATGAGTCTCATTCAAATATAGCGTTTTTAAAAAATTAAACAATATGGCGTGCATTTAAGAATATATCTTTCGCCATGTGTGCAACACCCCGCATTTCAGTTAAATTTAATTAATTCCAGAACCATGAATTCCAGCACAGGGCCATGTTATAGAACTATGAGTGCTGTTGCACTGTGCTTGTACTTCTTCTGCTGTACTTGGGATGTGAATGGACTTTTGGCTACAACGACTGAAAGAGCACTACCACCACCGCCACCACCCTCACCACCAGCAATAACAACGGCAATGAAAGCATCACCAGCAGCAGCAGCAACAATAACAAAAGTTCCACCAGCAACAAAAATAAGAGTAAAAGCAGCGCCATCACCACCGCCGCCACCGCCGCCACCACCACCACCAACAACAACGGGATATAACGGGAGCACACTAACAGTCGACCAATTTCCGCAATGGATCCCAATGACACCCCCACCCCCTCCACTTTTAAAAGTCATGTCTCCACCGCCTGATTCTCCAGAGTACGTCTGTGGAGGACCTGATCGCGAGCCCCCGCCCCCTGGCCACGATGACATACCCAGTTGTTCCTACTACGCCAGAATGTTAACGTGCGAAGGGCATTGCGGTAACGTCAGCAGTCAACGGGGCGGCATTCCAAAGTGGTGTTCTTGCGACCACCTGTGTTATCTTTACGGGGATTGTTGCCCGGATGTAGAAGCAAAATGCCCGGATGAAAAGACGAAGTATGAGCTTAGAAAAACAACCCTGAACTTTAACCTGAGCTATCATCCGGGGGCCACGTGTCAAACTCTGAAGTACCGTTTTGCCTCAATATACATGAGCTCAATAATGAATGTGCTTGTTTTTGGTAAGTGTCCGACGGACTGGGTGTCTGACACAATCTTGGATGCATGTGAGATAGAAGGCAATCCTTGGGAACTTGATTTAAAATACATTTTACCAGTTACTGACAAAAACACAGGCGTGCATTTTCGTAACGCTTACTGCGCCACCTGCCATGGGATCGAGAACTATACGTTCTGGCAAGTAAATTTCAATTGTTCACGGCCTGTCTACCTTGAAAATTCTTCGAACCCCTTCATCGAACTAGAAAAGAGTGACGCATGCACAAAAACCATTATTCCCCCATCTTGGAGCCCCATCCGCACGTGCGAGCATGTTATCAGGGAGTGTTCGAAAGACTGTTCCAATGAAAAAATGATCCGCGACTGCCATCGTTACCAATTGTACATCGAAAATAGAGACAGCTACAAAAACAAGTTTTGTGCCTTGTGCAACCATGAGAATTTACCCGACTTGAGGTGTAAACCAGTGACCGCCCCCAGTGGCAAACCAGGCACTGACATTTCATTTTTCTCCTTTAGAGTTATCATGGATTTTAACAGCCTTGATGGTCTTCGAATTGGCGTCAATACACAGCAGGATGAGGGAGATATTGCTGGTAGAGAAACTTTATTAGACTGTCATGTTTTTGATGCATCTTGCCAGCCTATTCAGTGCTCACTAGACTTCAAGCTTGTGGAAGGCGTCTGCATGTATAAATACCCTTTAAGTGATGTGAGAATCGTGACGTCATGGGTGACGAAAGACCCAAACGAGAGACTAACCTTCGTAAAAGGGAGTCCTTTTCAGAAAATTCCTTATTTTAAAGAGCAGAAAGCGGACATAGCCCGAACACTGTCAAAGATCTTTGAGACTGGATTCCCCGTATATGGAACCGTTGTGACGAACTATGTTGACACTTTTAATCCTCGAGCTGCTACCATGGAAAGCCGTTTTTTATTAAAATCTATAGAGGCAAACGTTACCCAAAGCCAAATTAATGCAACTATCATCCTCTCGCTGGATATTGCACTTGAATCAATAATTTCTGTCTTTAATAATGACTCAAAGAAAATATTTAAATACGTCGGTAACACCTACAGCTTCGGTCCTTTCCACTCCGGGGTTAGTGACTGCCCTCGTATTGGCCTTAATACGTCCGATTATGACATTTTGGGAAACGGGTCCATTTTAGTTCATGTCTCAAACACCCTGATAGACAGAAAGGATTATCAAGTGTGGGATAATCGGGCATGGGTATGTGCTGATGCTGTCAATATATCAGAAGAACTATTAAACAATAATTCAACGGGAAACAGCCAGAACGTTGATTACTTATCGCAAGCCGAAGGAATAGTAACGGTCACATTTTTAATCATATCATCTCTATGTATTCTTATAAGGATTGTCCTGCAGCCATGTGTCGCCGTCTTTCGGACGTTTCCAGGGAGACTTCAATTTTGCCTCGTTTTTGTCCTCTTCATATCGAAAGTCCTCTTCCTAATGAGACCATTTTTTCTTGGCAACGAAGTCGGATGCCAAGTTATTGCGGTATTGTTCCATTGGAGTGTACTGTGTTCCTTTCTCTGGATGAACGCCATTGCAGTCGACATGACGCGGACATTTAGCACGAAATCGTCACTGACTTCCGACCGATCGGAAGGGTCGAGAAAACGGTTCCTCACGTACCACGTCTTTACCTTGCTTTGCTCGGTCATTGTCGTGGTGTCATGCCTTGTGTTGGACTATGCCCACATCGACGAAAACTTCCAACCAAGTTACACATCAGGGGTTTGCTGGATTTCTAAAAAATTTCCTCTGATTATATTCATGGTAGCACCGATTGGTTTGGTCATTATTGTGAACCTGATCCTTTTTGTCATCATCTCCCGTTCCATCCGCGGTGCTATGAAAAGAGCAGAGGGACTCAGTTCCTCGCAGAATAAAAACCACTCATTTGCTATATACGTTAAAATATTTGTCCTGATGGGAGTAAATTGGATTTTTGGATTCGTTGCCAGTTTGTTCCACGACCCTACTGTATCCAATATTATGTGGTATATTTTTATTGTCACTGCCACATTGGACGGTGTATATATTTTTATAGCAACCGTGTGTACCAAGAGGGTATGGGAGGAACTGAAGAAATTGAACGGGCTGAAAACTTGCCATCTCACATCTGATTCCACTCCGCTAAATTCTGTCTCGTCAAATACCTGTAGAAACAGCATGCCGTCGAAGAAAAGAAGCACCGAAGTTAGCTCGATTTGATACCATCTTCAATCACCGGAGGAAAAGGAAATGGATTTTCTTTTCTTTGCAACTCTGTTTTTTGTCAAGTTACCCAGACTCACAAATGTTCTGAGATTCATCGTTTTCTAGTAAATAATTGAATTATCAGGTTGAAGATTTAAAAAATGACAGCTGCTAGACTACCGGGTGATATTAATGGCGAAATGTGACAAAACACAGGTCGTGTATTGTAATCTAAAATGTCACGTTATAATTTTAGAATATTTGGGAAATGTTGTATATAAAGTGCTTCGAAAGGAGAGAATATCGAAACGCTGAAGAACATAGGAGCAGGTAGTTTTCAATTTGTCAACCCTTCCTTTTTCAACCAGCGTTACCATGAAAATCTGACTCCCTTAAAAGGTGACTCCCCAGTCAAATTTTCCTCATGAAAATCTGACTCCCCAGTCGAAGTTTCATAATGAAATTTTTACTCCCCCCCCACAAACTTCACAAATCTTATTTTATTTGAGTATACACTGTATGACTTTTATCTTGTAGTATGCATAATGGAAAATACATTGGAACTTTTTGTTACTTTGCACGTGATAATTTTCATTAAAAAAGAAAATTTAAAATGTGTATTCTACCACCCAATGACTCTTCTTGAAAAAGCTATTTATTTGATATTTGGTGATCATTTCAACCTTTTTCTTTTTAGTGTACTTTATAAAAATATATTGGAAATATTTGCAAGTTTGGTGGTAAAATATTGGGTGCAAAAAAATAAAAAAAAAAAATCATGAAAAAACTTTCATTTTCATATCCATGGGATTTGGTCTCCCATGAAGGAAAGGCCCTATTTTATATTTAGTCACCATACCATTATTTTCCAAATAGTTTGCATTGTGACGTATATTTTATTAGTATTTGAAAGTTTGGTGGTGAAAATTCTAATAAAAATAACTAGCCATAGGATTTGTACTCCCATTACATACTACTAGATAAAAGTCATATACTCAAATAAAATAGGATTTAGTTTTTTTGGGGGATCAAAATTTCATGGGGGGAGTTAGATTTTCATGTAACAGCAATTTATAGGGACCAAGACGTCAAGATAAACCAGATCCTAAAAAAAATGAATTTGATATCCCCAATTTCTTGTCATGCAGTCTCTTATATATTTATATAAACTCTTTCTCTCTGAACGGAGGACTCGTTATCTGCTTTACGTCAGCTTTTATGTAGTATTGAAATCTTCCGTTCTACATTTACTTCATTTTGTACTATTGTTTATTTTGAACTAATCAGTCTTTCCTAATAAGGCAATCTGTATGAGCCCCTGTTTACGCCTCTTGTTTTATTACATCACATTTGGAAAGTGCCCAAGTCTATTAGTTTGTAGCTGTTAGTCACGTTATGGAATATCACTTTTTGTATATGGAATAAACCAATCAATCAAGAGCTTGTCAGACTTTGAAATGTCCTTTCTCGACAAAAACGAAAACAATTTTCGCACTAAATGACTCTTACGATAACAACTTACTGGGCTTTTATTTATTTGGATTTCATTATTAATGTTTTTGCGATTGATGAATTCGTAACTTATTTCCCTTACATGCATGTATAGCTGTGAACAATTTACAATAAAAACAAGCCCCAAAAGCCCAAAAAGGAGGCGGCATCTAGGATATGACTCGTTACCTTAATCACAAGAAAAAAAGCACAATAATTAGTTTTCAAAAAGCCGCTGATAAAATACGTTCCATAATTATCATTTTTGTTAGTGCCAAGAAGTGATATTTGTCAATTAGCTCGGACTTTTGCCACTCGCACTTTTGTCACGGAAAAAATGTCACAGATAATACTGGGTACAAATTAACACTCTAAATACGTTACATCTCATTAACTCTGGCAAAAACAACCTTACATATGTCCTGTACTCGATCTACGTATGTTATTTATCATTATAAGTCTATCATTAGAAGAATACGGGATATCGATCAGCTGCCATCACGATCTGAGTTTCTAACCTGAAACCGAGGAGAAACTGTGGTATATAATTTATGCTGTGGTTCTGTATAATCACATTTGATGTCAAGCTATATATAGAACCATAGTACACTGACTATTTGTATTTAACGAACGGAGATTATACGACTACAATAAATAAATAAATAAATAAATAAAGAAATAAATAAATAAATAAATAAATGATATAAAGAAAGATATAACCTAATCATAGAATGCATATACTGGGATCACTTGAACTGATGAACAACACTTTGAAGGAATAAAGTGTTTCTATTTGCGACACACTCAAGTATGTTATTCTTCTCACATTTTACAAACTAAGGTCAATAATGTCCACCACAGCCTCTATAAAGTCTGGCCTATTTTTGTTCCGAATCCCCCAAAAATTACACTTATCTTAAAGGTGCAAAATGTGCGGGTTGGAATCCCTAAATGATGACGATTCATCCTTAAAAATATTTATTTTCACAACAATATAATAATAATAATAATAATAATAATAATAATAATACCTCAGTGTACCGTAACATACGCTGAATAGTACCGTAATAGTACCGTAACATACGCTGAATGGCAAAATCCAGGTATTGGGTTGCGGTGCGTGAGTAAAATCGTCCTTTCTGCGTTCTTTGTGCGACCATGAAACTGGCATCGCTGTGGTCATAGAAAGGAGACAAAAGCATCGCTTTGGTTGCAGAAAGAATACCCAATGATCGGCCAGTTGTCGGCATGTAAAATATTTTTATTTTTTACTCCCAAGCGGGGCTGTACTACGGGACGCAGAAAGGACGCCGTCCAGTGTAAAGGGGGCTTAAAAAAACTAAACAGATGTGGGAATGAAAGATGTCAACCACTGTGGAAAAAATCAAGAATATTATTTTTCAGTTTCAGTGTTAGTCTATTTTCCCCTTTTGGAAAGTGATTTAGACGGAGTCGTACACTTCGATTTTGATTTAAAAAAAGGAGAGTGGTTCCTTGTATTCTATCGAAGTGATTCTTTTTTTACATTTTCTCTCTTGTATATTCTGTCCTCATAATAGCACTTAACTTAATTTCATAAGGGAATTGCTAATATTCACTAAATCACTGATAGATTTACATTTTGTGCTGTTGCTGTAAGGTCCTACCGCATTTCCATTTAATTCTGAAAGAAGTAACACATGCGTGTAACTACAATGTATTACTATATATACAATGAGTATATTTCTGATTGGATTTTCAAGTGAATCAGATTCCATTTGGTTGTTTTACAAATACAGAACAACACAAACTTTCCAGTGGTTTTGTGCTATCTGTCATCAGTGGAGCGATAGAACACACTAAGGCTGTATTCCCAGAGCTTTTAGATCTATCTATCCCCGCGGGGAGTTTCAATAAATTACTGTCAGATAATACGGCTTAAATGTCGTCTAAAGTAGATCGATCTAATCTCTGGAAATGGGGTCTAATGTACGCGGTTATTAGTTTATGGCAAAATCGTTTGCAAATGAATTACCCAACTCTGTACGTCCCTTGCAACAGCAGCAGAAGCAGAAGCGTAATCTATACTGTTAGATTGATGCATGTCGTGTAAAAACAGAAGATCGCGATTAATTATTTAAAGCAATAGAAAAACGTACGATTGCCCATTTAACATAGACAGTTGAACCTTCCCATTTCATCATAGCAACTGTATTTATAAACACCAAGGTGTCGTGCCCAATGCATTTAACAACCAGGGAACCACTTTGCAGTCTCAGATACGTGTTTCCTCGGATGTCAATGACACAAAAGGTATGTGAACATCAACACTCTGTTGTGACAGTCGGTATGTAATTTGTAATTTTTTATTTATAGTTCTCTCTCACTCTCTCTCTCTATTTCTCTCTCTCTCTCTCTGAAGCTGGGCAATGCCAGACCCATAGCACGTGTACATGTATTTTTATTTCCTGTTGCATCGAATGCCTCATCTTTTTTTATTTGACAACCAAATGAACTCATTTTTCCGCAATCCACATACCGTATGTACAGAGTCATTTTTAGTGTTTTGAAGCTTATACTGTAGCTTATAGCGTTTTGTAAAAGTCATTCTTTTAAACTTGACATGTTGTAAAATAAGACTGTACGGGGAAACTAAAAAGATGCGTGTTTGTTTGTAGAGATGGCAGTGAAGCTAAAAAGTGGAGGTGTACCGTGGATATCCCTGCTGGCGTTAGTGTTCAGTCTGGCAGTTTGCCGAAACCGTAAGTAACAAAAGATGTATATTTTGTTTGGGTTTTGTCTTTTTTTAAATCTCCGTTTTTATATCTTCGTGTAAACCAAATTTTTGGTGGATATTGTTACCTAGTTATGATTTTCGTGGCTTTATAGGGAACTAAAGGCACAGTTTAAAAGGTCAAATTATGAGTGCTGGTGAGGTTATTGAAAACATACGTGAATATAAATATATAAATATAAGGAAAATGTTGATATTGTATTATAAGAATATAAAGTGTTTTTGCCTGTTTAATACCCTATGGTACATGTAGATATTGTTACCGATTTTGGTATTTGTGACACTGTAGGGAACAAAAGACACAGTTCAAAATGTGAAATTAGTTGCGCTGGTTTGGAAGTGTTGCTGCAAATGTTTAACACTGATATATGGCAGCGATTTCAGCGCGTCGTTTTTTTTTTCGGTAGAGCGGGTGCTGTAAATTTGGTTTTGAAAGTAGCACAATGAGAATTGTGGTTTCTATTGAAAAGAGCCTTATTTATGCATTTTATTTTTTAATTTCAACACTATACGTGATGTATTCGGTGTAATTTGTTAACCTCGGATGCCTTTAGGTAAGACCGTGTTATGTTTCTAATATTTTATACATTAGTGAATACATACATGTACGTGTGTTAAGATACTTCATAGTATATCACCACTTCATGGGATAAACATTACTAGAAGGCGACTTCATTGGTTAAAAAATAAGAACCCTTAGACGACTTCGCGATATTTACCACTTCATGGATGGGACATTGTATCCAAACAT